AGGCTAAGTAAGATTTTCTGAATGATTATATATCCACATATTTTCGACAGTTGTACTGAATTTATCTTTTTTTTCACAGTGAAGAATCATTAGTGCTCAATTTGCTCCGAGTTCTGTTTCAAATTACATATTACATTGAGCGTATGAGGTGAGGTGAAGTTGGGTTTAACGTCGCGCTGGAGAATATTTCGCTCATATGACGACGTGCATGCGTGTGTGTGTAGGTGCGGCTGCTTGTACTAGCCCAGACTTAAGCTGGTTTTATAGTGCTTGCCCACTGAGATACCATGCCGCAGTGAAGCATGAATACCCCACTCAGACACATTATACTGACTCCGAGCCGACCAGTCCTTGTTGTACCCATTAATGCCGAGCGCCAGGCAGGGACCAACAAGTACCATATTTTAACGTCCTTTGGTATGACGCGGTCGGGGATCGAACCCGCGACCTTCCGCTCTCCGGTTGAGCGTATGACAGTGCGTCTTTCTCATTTGAAAAAAATACAACCGTTGGCCTATCTCCCCCAATCAAGTCCCCCCCTTCCCGGATCAGAATAAATAAAATTTATTGATTGAATGGAAATACAATATTTGGTTCAAAGCAAATTGTGTTTCTGACGAAATGGAATGGTAGTAAACCTAGTGTGGCGAGAATAAAGGTAGGTTTTATTAACTTGAGTCCTCTTTCAAACAAAGCTTGACCACCCGTGAATTACCATCTAGAGCACTTCAGCAGGTGACGACTATCTCTAATAATCCACTAAACCCAGTGCGTTAATCCCAAAGGTCAACAAGCGCCTTCTTTACTTCGTGGCTTTGCGCGAGATATCGCTCTTTCAACGTGTGTCAGTAACCACGTGACAATGTTTACATGTACATAACCCGGAAGTGAAAACCCTGACCCGAGAAACTTGACGGAACGGCAGGTGGTTTTTACTAATTTCGGAATTAATAATTTATTCTTCGCGCTTCAGTGCCCCTTATTGTGCATTTGAAGAGTGACGGACGCTGAAATGTGTTCCCTTGCACTTGACACTTAACAAGATCTCGTTCGCAAATTATTTCCTTCGCCATGTTGGATAATTTATTTACATCATGGCAGCCGATTTTGTGAGGCTTCGTCTAAAGATATTCATGTCCTAACAGGTGGCCAGTGGGACATATCTCGCAACAAACGTCTCTCGATCGTATTTGCCTTGACCTTTTGGAGGATGTGTGACTACTAATGGCGAATATAACTGACCTCATGTTCGGATGTGTAACGTTTTCGCGTTTTCTTAACCAGACACTATGTCAAAAATGTCGGTTTTCGTCTGCTCGACAGCTAATATGACAGACGGACTGGTAGCATCGCCAGGGATTTGATAACTGGTCCATGTGTGATTTCAAGGAAGGATTTTGCTAATGGTAGATGTTTCTCGCCTTGTCTAGATCGATGTTGTTGGATAGGGTGTAATTGTCTGTGCGCGGAGTCGGCAGTCGAACGAACATCCCCCAGGTCATCTTGTCCAGATAGTGTGGAAGAATATTCATTTGGCATACCATCTGTTGTTTATCATATGGCTGTTTCTAACCATACGTGACGGGTTCATATTATTTTGTACCCAAATCTTTGAAGATTATTTCCGGTGAAAGATATCTGACTGATTCTTGAACATCCTGGAACATGCCGCATTATCCTTAATTTATTCAAAATGACTCAACCATAATCGTCAAAAATTAGAAAGGAGGCTTGTTTCATTATTTTACGCAGTATTTGTAGAATATTTATAAAATATGCTCACGTAGTTAATGGACTCTTGTACATATTGACACATCCCTGTTAATTTATTATGTTTTCATTGAAAATTTAACAGAATAATTTATGACTTTGTACTAATCACTATTTATACTGTTCTTATATGGAACAATTTCTCTGTGATTTCTTTGTGATATTTTACTTTTACACAAGTATTATTAAGTTTTATTGGCCTGTTTTATTTTAACTCTGATTATTCCTTTTCTAGTCTGGATATTTAGCATTCAGTATCTGTCAGGTATTCTGTCCGCATACCAGTATTTCATTGTGTAATATTGATCACTAGGGACTCTATTTATGACGCAACTAGAATATTCTCGTTTGGCTCACCTGTGATTGTGTTCGCTGAAACCAGTGATGAATATTCATTTGCATTGTTGTTAGTATTGAGCGACCATTGTCAAAACATAACTGAAGGGAACGCTGAATCAAAAGTCATAAAGGACTTTTGTCAAGAAAATTCAGTGAATATAATTAATCAAACTTGTTGAAGAAATTTTAACAGATGTGGAGTTTTCTTGGCGACAAGAAATGAAAACTTTCTGATGCTAGTTGAACCTTGTTGTTGGATACTAGCCCTGAGATAGTGGAAACTTTAGGTAGAAGTTGGTGCAGTCACGAATCATTTGCATGTCATCCAAAAGAAATAGCGATTTGGTTATCTTGGAAGAGTATCAAGAACTGTTGGAAAACATGTCGTCTGGATTCACGAGTCCTGTCAAAAGTAATGACAGTGACGACAACGCCACCTGGGGAGCGTGGCAGGTACAGCACTTATACAACAATCCTCTTTGTGTGATACTCAGTCCTCAAAGTGGTGACTTATTTCTTCACCAGTGTCATTTGATTTTATATTTGGCAACTATGACAAGTAGCTGTTAAGTAATTCAAATCGATGCTTGTGATTAAATAAGTTTGACCTATGAATTCATTGACGATTGGTCATTCTTCATAGGACAGGGAGCTACTTTCATGAAAATGAACAACCTTCTGTCAAATTTTCATTTTTTGAATTTTGAATGTATGTTGGGTCCTTTGATTTCTCAACTTCAGACTGGCTCCTTAATTTTTATAATGATGTTTGTCACAGAACAATAATGTAAACTTTGAGGACTGAGGCTATTCCTATTATCGCCATAATCATCAAAGAAACGTTATTTCATAAAAAATATATTTTGCTCAGTATGTTTCGTTCATGAAATTTTCATCATGCAAAAATTACAAAGTTACAAACCTGTTTCCAAAACAGATTAACGTTTGAACATAGAGAGGGGTTGTTCAACCAAGCTGAACGTTCCACTGCTAGGAAAATGCCATGTTAGGAAAATGTAGCTTGCCTTGATTGTGTGTTTCATAGAACTTGGGACCCCTTTTGTGTAAATGCATTTGCTGGGTATATTTAGTTATCCAAGTTTTAAGTATGATGCAGCCTTGTATTCAGTTGTACAGCTAAGATGTCCAAATTTCTGCCACATTTCATGTATGTTACGTTAATCGTGTTGTACAAAACTCATCAGTATTTGAGTAAACCTCTGTTGTCAGAATGTTGTCAAGCAAGTATGCTATTGATATTGTTGCTTTTGTTACGAGGAATAATCAGGTGCCCATTAACTACATAATGTCAAAGTAAGAACTTTGTTTACAGATTTGCTTCACTTTGGTTTTAATGTTTTGTTTTCTTTAGTTTTGTCTGTTCTGTTTTGCTTGCCACATTTTTCGATGAAATACCAAAAACTCAATCTGTAATTGTTAAATTATTTTGCAAATTGTATTCTTGATATTTGTTTGAAATATTCATGGCATTATTCCATCTTGTGTGTCATGATTTAGGATTTCAAGCATGCTTAAGGATGTTTTATCGTATGAATGCATTTTCAAGAAATATTTCTACAAATTGTAATTACATGTTTTTGAAGGTTCCTGCAAATTACAAATGATGTTAAATTTTAGCCAAAATTTCAAATCGAAATGGTGCTGATCAACATGCAAAAGGGATTTTAAGATTTAATCTGTGGAATCTTGACAGTTAAAAAAATATCTGTTCTGTTAGAGTGTTACTCTTGACCAGACATGCATGATCATCAGTCCATGGCATATTGTTCACATACAGTCAGTCACAGCTGATAATATTTGACATTTTTATAGATTTCGTTCTGAGGCATGGATCAAACAGAATCATGTTCAGGTGGATGCAACCAAATCTTGACCAGTTATGCACTTAAGTTAGTGTGTCATACAGACCCTGAAACAAATACATCAAAGAAAGCCCATGCAAGTCTAGAATATATGACAAGTCTAGATTTCCAGTCGGTGGGCACCTTTCATTATATTTTATGATTACTAGTATTTTCTATGAAAGTTTTTTGTCTATAAACTATGTTCATTTCAGAGACTAGATGATAGTCTACACTTAGAAGTCCCAGTTTACTTACTTACAGCAGTTCTCAATGCAGTGTCGAGTCACTTAGGCATACACGAATCCTGTAATTGCAGGTCCAAATCGCTTATTTCCCAGATTATGATTTTTGGTTTGTGGATCCCCTTACAGGTAAACAGTCGTTGGACTAATGCTTAGTTTCGGAATATGTATACTTTTGATAAAGACAAAGCACACGATTTAAATTGAATAAGGTTACCATTGAAGTGGGGAAATTTAATTTTGCTTCATTTAGGGATTTTGCATTACAATTAGGACTATGTAGAATGGAAAATGAGTAGCATGGACTGTGAAACAGAATAGTCCATTTGATAGACTAACAACTAGTCTCTGAAGTGAACATATTTTACTGAAAAAAGTTCATAGTAAAGAAAATATAATATAATGAAAAGGAGCCCTGAGACTTTCTTCATTTTCCTGAAGCTGAGGAAATCTAGACTTGCCACATTTTCATGACTTGCATGGGCTTTCTTGGATATATTTGCTTCAGGGTCTGTACGACAGACTATCCATTTGACTAAGGCAGCACTATTATCCATACAGAGTTATTTCCCTTGGGTGGGTCTGGTTTCCTAGCCTCTCTGATTATAATTCTTTGTTTGAACCAAACCTGTTCTCTTTCCATTTACAACGGTATATTTCTTGGACAATCAGTCCCTTCCCATTTTGACTCACCTTGATAAGTTTGATCCTTGCTTGAGAAATAAGATGGTTGACTGAAGGATTTTCGTAAAGTATGTACATGGTGTTTTGTTGTTTGTTTCAGGCCCAGTTAAATGCGTACGTTGCCTGGGTGAACTCCCAACTGAAGAAGCGACAGGGGATCCGCATGGTGGAGGATCTGCGTGTGGACATGCGAGATGGGGTGGCCCTGCTTCACTTGATCGACATCGTTGGTGAGTACCAGTAGTGACTGAGTGAGTTTAGTTTTACGCCGTACTCAGCAATATTCCAGCTATATGGCGGCAGTCTGTAAATAATCGAGTCTGGACCAGACAATCCAGTGATCAACAGCATGAGCATCGATCTGCGCAATTGGGAACCGATAACATGTGTCAACCAAGTCAGCTAGCCTGACCACCCGATCCCGTTAGTTGCCTTTTACGACAAGCATAGTCGCCTTTTATGACAAGAATGGGTTGCTGAAGACCTATTCTACCCCGGATCTTCACGGGTCGAATACCAGTAGTATACCTATAACCTAACCAATGGGGATCAGGGGTGGAAATAACCCATTGCCCGATGCCCGAGTCCAGTGTTTTTTCCAGTCGGGCAAGCAAATTTGTATATCACGCTGTACCAATGTCCAGTTGACTTTCCAATGTTAATTATGTTGTTTATTTAAACAATTAACAAGAAAATTGGCCGGTATAGAGGAAAAATTTTCAGGGCAAGTGATTTTACATGTGCCACTGTACCGGTGTACACTAGCAATTTTAAAGTTATTTCCACCCCTGGGGATACGAATAGTGATCCCCTGCAACCAGTGCCGGTCATATGGGGCAACTTGTTTGTTGATTGACGCTGCACTCAACAATATTCCAGCTATATTGTGGCGGTATGTAAATAATCGAGCCTGGACCAGACAATCAAGTGATCAACATCACGAGCATCGATTTACGATTTTAAGTTTTGGTTGACACATGTCATGGTATCCCAATTGCGTAGATCGATGCTCATGCTGTTGATCACTGAATTGTCTGGCCCAGACTCGATTATTTACAGGCTGCTGCCATATAGCTGGAATATTGCTGAGTCCGGCGTAAAACCAAACTCACTCACTAGGGGAGAATGGGGGCACTGTGCATATTCTGCTATTTATAGTCAACCAGAAAATAACACAGAATCTGCATAAACTGGTTCTTGGACAGTTTCTGTTATCATTAACATTTGAAAAAGTCCCAAACATGACCAAAATATTATGTTTGAATCATGAGGCATTTCTGGATTTACTTCATGCAGATTGGATTCAGTTACTCTTGGCATGTCTGAACAAAGGGAGGCAACTCTTGTTTGGCCATCAAAAACGTGTTTCAGTTTCAAAGTTTCTTTAAAGTAATGGTGCATTGGGCCTGCTATTCCCTTATCATGTTGACATCAAAGCTGTAGTCTAAAACTCAGGTGACTTTCCTTGGTTTTCTGAATATGTTGATTATTAAGCAGATGTTTCATTCTTAGTTTTTGCGCCTGTTCTTGCATAGCCCAGACTGTATTTTGAGATACCATGTAGTTGGGGATTGAGTATATGCAAAAAATACTTTCGACAAGTTTAAGTTTGTATCTGCTAAACCAAGTGCATGTGTACATTATGCCACTCTCCACTGCCATACTGCAGGGCTGGTGAGTGAGTAACGTTTATGCTGCTTTTAACAATATTCCAGCAATATCACGTTGGGTGACACCAGAAATGGGCTTTGCACTTTGTACCCATTTAGGGAATAGAACAGCCTTCGGCGTGACAGGTAAACACTTTAACCACTAGGCTACCCCATCGCCCCACAGGGCTGGTAGGGTAGCCCAGTGGTGTGTCATCACTCGTCGGACAGAAGAACAAGGTTTAGTTCCCAACAATGTCTAGTGCTCCAATTTCTGGTGCCCCATGCTGCTACAAGGAAAAAAACAAGCACACTCACTCACTCACTTTTTTTACTCACTCACTCACTTTTTTTACTCACTCACTCACTTTTTTTACTCACTCACTCACTCACTCACTCACTCACTCACTCACTCACTCACTCACTCACTCACTCACTCACTCACTCACTCACTCAGGGTTGGTGGGGTAGCCTAGTGGTTAAAGCTTGTGCTCATCACGCCGATAACCTGGACTCGATTCCCCACATGGGTACAATGTGTGAAGCCCATTTCTGGTGTCCCCCACCATTACATTGCTTTAATATTGCTAAAAACTGTGTAAAACCCAACTCACTCACTCACTCATTCATTAGAGCAGTTTCATTGAAGAGTTTATGAAAGTGTTTGTTGGAAATATCAGTTGTTTTAACATTGAATACAACCTGTCAACCTTAAGGCAAAGGGAAAGAATGTTCCCAGCAACACTTCTTGGCTACTGAAGTATGTCTGGAGACAAAACACTTCCACTGAGAACACTTGAATATAACTATCCTGTTTAAGAGTCAGTATTCCTCTTCAGTTAATGCTACATAGCGTAGTTTAGTTGCCAGGTTTATTTCATTGCTGATAATTTGAGTCCGTCATCTAGTCTGTTTCACAGTCCCTGAACCTCATTATTTACCCTACTGCCTAGTCCTCCCTGCAAAGGGGCGGTGGGGTAGCCTAGTGGTTCAAGCGTTCCCTCGTCAAGCCGATTGCCCGGGTTCGATTCCCCACATGGGCACAATGTGTGAAGCCCATTTCTGGTTTTCCCCGCCGTGATATTGCTGGAATATTGCTGGAATATTGCTAAAAGCGGTGTTAAACCATACTCACTCACTCACTCCTCCCTGCAATGCTAAAGGCCTAAATGAAGCAAGTCTAGATGTCCTCAGGTTCAGAATCTCCCAACTCAAGGCTCCTTTTCAATATAAATGGGTTTATATGTTACTATCAACATATGTATATATATTCAGAGACTTCTTTGAGTGGCATTTTATAAGTTGGGAAGTACAATATAGAACAAACTTTATGGATAACAACTTCTTTTTATTCGTGAGTGCGACGTTTCGATACAGATTCTTGTACCGTTGTCAAGCATAATGGAACATGAAGAAGGGGGAAGTGTATATATACTGGATGTAACAATGTTACAAAGAAAACAACATAATTAACATAATTGGCTAGGCAGAAAGCTGATGAAGCCATAGAGTAGACAAAAGACCGGCGTGGAAGCCAATGATGTACAAATAATAATGAGATGTTTATACAGCAGAGTTTATACAGTAGATTGGGCTTGGTGGATGAATGCATCATAAGCGGATGGAATGAAGTATCACGAATAAAAAGAAGTTGTTATCCATAAAGTTTGTTCTATATTGTATTCAGAGACTGTAGTTTAGTGGCCAGGTTTATTCACTGTTGACAGTGTGTAGTCAGTCATCCTTAGGACCAGACAGTGAAGTTAATCACTTTCCTTCCTCCTACTTGGAGAGTTCCTATACCGGAATGTTTGTGACTCAGGAGATCTCTGTGCAATAGGCATGTGGTGGTGTTCCCACACTGTCTGCCACTGTGTGAGACAACCGGTAGTCAGCTTCTGGATAGGCAGGGATCTTTAGGTTGCTGCTGTCAACAGTAGAACAGTCTAATGGCTACCAGGGACTGTGGTAAGACTTTAGGGACTTACGAGGAATAACCTTATTACATTGGTGTGGACCCGTGAAGATCAGCAACCCATGCTTGTCGTAAGAGGCGACTAACGGGTCAGACTCGCAGACTTGGTTTACATTTGTCATTGTATCCTATTGCGTAGATCATGCTCATGCGATCACTGGGTTGTCTGGTCCAGAATCGATTATTTACAGACTGCTGTCATATGGCTTGAATATTGCTGATTGCAGCAAACCAACCAGCCACCGTTGTTGTGATTCTCTTTGTTACCTCAAGAAAATGTGAACATATATGGATGTCAACTTCTTTATGAGATAATGTTCGTCATAAATTTTTACCTTTTATGTGTATCATTTCCAAATGCCATTCAAAAACTTTGAGAATAATTGTTCAGAATTATGGGGGCTCTACTAGGGTATATTGGGGCTTAGTGGTTAAAGGGTTTGCTCGCCACTCCAAAGATCCGGGTTTGATTCCCGACATCGGTACAATGGGCGAAGCCTGTTTCTGGTGTGCCCTGCTGCGATATTGCTGGAATTTTGCATAAAACTCACTCACTCACTCACTCACTCACTCACTCACTCACTCACTCACTCACTCACTCACTCACTCACTCACTCACTCACTCACTCACTCACTCACTCACTCACTCACTCACTCACTCACTCACTCACTCACTCACTCACTCACTCACTCACTTGCTCACTTGCTTGAAAAGATGATTAGGTGCAATCATGAACCTAAGGTTATGGTCAGTCGGCAGGACACTGTGGGCAAATTAGCAGTAATTAACATACTCTAATCATACCTGATTCACTATTAACATACCCACGTCACGACATATATTACTAACTAAATCTCACCTGTCACTAATTAACAGATCCTAATCACACCTGACATCACGAATCCTATCCTAATCACACGTAATAATAAATAAACCCAAAGCACCACACTCCAATATAAATAAACTATTTTGCATTGTTATGCATGCACACACTATGGTGTTATTCATGTGTAATTGGAATTTAATATTTCATGGGCAAGCAGGCATTTGTAGCACAAGCCACTCCTTGTGATTCCCAGTTTACAGGCATGTTTCTACAGGTTTGGCGATGTTTGTTCACTTAGTGATTGTTTACATAAAGACTTGTTTGAATATTATTTTGTTTTGATGTCAGTTATTTGTTTGATTCAGGTTTATTAAAAAATAATAAATAAATAAGGCCAGACCAATTTTATTTCTTGTTTTACAGATTTTTGTCATCGGTCCTAAAGGCAGGAGGGAAAACATAAAATAAAATAGAAATCGACAGTCAGAGTAATATTTCTTTTAAATACTAAAAGTATTTTACTTTTGACAATTTATGAAGTGTATATGGGGCAAAAAACACTAAAACATTTTCTTGCACATTTACATTTTTGACCAATAAAAATATTTAAAAAATGATTTTTTGAGAGGGGAAATTTATTTTTAATTTTTTGTCTTATTCTTGAAAAAATTTGACTGGCGAATCCGTAAAACAAGAAATAAAATTGGTGTGGCCTTAAATTGATATAAAAGTGTTTCGTGTTGGCCGCCAAGGTTATTTGGTTCCGTTATCATCAAGCGCAAAATCCTGTAGAGAAGGGATGTAATAAACATGTAAATTAGGTCACCCAGCAGGAACTACTTTTTAGTTGACTCTTTACACTGGTGTTGTATTTTGCAGCTATTACATTCTGGTTTCCTTATGTGGGAATGCTTGTTTACGTCATTTCGCACTATATTCTCTGGGATGGTTCACTAAGGCTATGTATTCCTACGTAGTTTCTAATGTGAGTCTGGTGATTATGAATATGTGTGTACTTCCATTATTTTGAACATGATGTTATATGATAAAAGAGATAATTACCCACATAGTGTTTTTATACCCCCCCTACGAAGTAACGGGGGCATATAGCGTTCAGTCTGTCCGTCCCTCCGTGCGTCCGTCCGTCTCTTAAAGTTTACATGCTAGGTTCAAACTTTGTCCGGAGCATATCTCTTAAAGTTTACATGCTAGGTTCACCAAACTTCACACACATGTTAATCATTACCCATTGATGTGCCTTTTGCTATTTTAGTTTTTTTTCAGAATTTTGTTTTATTGCTGTTTCCATGGAAACACGACTTAGTGCCAAATGTGTTTGATGGTTTTGTCCGGAGCATATCTCTTAAAGTTTACATGCTAGGTTCACCAAACTTCACACACATGTTAATCATTACCCATTGATGTGCCTTTTGCTATTTTAAAGTTTTTCAGAATTTGTTTTGTTGTTGTTTCCATGGAAACATGACTTGGTGCAAAATGTGTTTGATGGTTACCTGGCCAGAGCATATCATCAAAACTATACATGCTAGGTTCACCAAACTTAATACACAAGTTAATCATGACCCACAGATATGCCATGTGCTAAAAAATAACAATCTTCATCTACGTCCACTTCATTGTGTGCAACAAGTTCAATTGTATGTCAGGTTTCAACGGAAAACACAAAAAAATAATGTTTCCATAAATTATTACTGTAATCAGTACATGGCAAAACTATTATCTAACATGTATATAAAGTTTAGTAGAGTCAAGGAGAAAGTCTTGTGAGCTGCTGATCCTTGTCACATTATATATATCAATATCAGTCATTTCCATGTCCCAAAGTGGGCAAGAGGGCCATCATTCTTGATGCATATGTGAATATGTCTGTGCTCTATATCTTTTTACTACACTAGATGAATACAAGTGTGGCTTTTGTGAGACAACTCATTTGCACAATTATTTTGTGCCTGTTACTGTCTGTTTTCCGTGTTTTCTGTCCCAGTGTTTAAGGAGCTACTTTAAGTAGGAAGGTGACGGTGTAGTTTCACGGATGTTGTTGTATTTCAGGTGGAGAGAAGCTGACAGGGACGCACCCCGATCCCTCTGGGTATGGGGAGATGAAGGAGAACGTCGAGAAGGTGCTACAGTTCATGTGTAAAAGCAGAATAAGGATGCATCACACTAACGCAGCAGGTATGTGTGTTAGTTTCACCAAATGGGCTAATAAGGGATACTGTTGCCAGGCACCCAAGTTCAGGAGGGGTTACTGTTGCCAGGCAACCATGTACACTAGCAGTTACTTTGCCAGTCACCTGAGTAAGACATGGTTACTGTTGCCATGCACCCGAGGAGAAGAGGGGTTTCTGTTGCCAGGCACCAAAGTAGGAGAGCGGTTATTGTTGCCAGGCAGCTGTGTACAGTAGGGGTTACCTTGCTCGACACTCAAGTAGAAGTGTGGTTACTGTTGCCAGGCACCCAAATAGAAGAGGGGTGTCTGTTGCCAGGCACCCAAGTAGAAGAGGGGTGTCTGTTGCCAGGCACCCTAGTAGAAGAGGGGTTTCTGTTGCTAGGCATCCATGTACAGTAGGGGTTACTTTGCCCGACACTCAAGTAGAGGAGTAGATACTGTTGCCAGGCACCCAAGTAAAAGACTTATTGTTGCCAGGCACCCAAGCACAGGAGGTGTTCCTGTTGTCAGGGAATCGTGTGCAATTGGGGTTACTTTGCCCGACACCCAATTAGAGGAGTGGTTACCATGGTTACTGTTGCTAGGCACCCAAGTAGAGGAGTGGTTACTTTTGCTAGGCAACCAAGCAGAGGAGGTTATCCACCTATAACAGGAATACTAATGCATTGGCTTCTATTGAAGGCCCAAGTACACTTTAATCATGTGTTGAGATATAGATAATATGAAGCCATTTATGTTCAATAAACTGATTTGCTGTAATGTGTGTCTATGTTTCAGATATTGTGGACGGCAACTTGAAGGCTATCATGCGTCTCATCCTGGCGCTAGCAGCTCACTATAAGCCCAACAGTGTCAAACACTCCGCTTACCAGCACTATCGTTCACCAAGCAAAGGAAACCTGGCCGGGATTGCACAGGTAGGTCCTTAGTATAAGCCCAACAGTGTCAAACACTCTGCTTACCAGCACTATCGTTCACCAAGCAAGGGAAACCTGGCCGAAATGGCACAGGTAGGTCCTTAGTATAAGCCCAACAGTGTCAAACACTCTGCTTACCAGCACTATCGTTCACCAAGCAAGCTGCACAGGTAAGCCCAACAGTGTTACTCCTTTTACCAGTATTGAGAAATTTGCCCAAATGCTAAAAACACCACAATAAAGGGAAGGTTAAGTCCAATGTGCAAACCTTGCACTATTTTATTAAGTTGCACATACAACACGTAATTTGTCTGCCAATTGGAGACTGCATGATTAGAAAACACATCTGGACTTTCATTTTCACAATCTCTTAAGGGAAGCTCTGATTGGTCGAATGAAAGGTCAATCTGACCTGCAATGAGATGTCCACAAATCTTTGTCCAGAGATAGCAATCACAAGGTTCTAATACTAATGAGACTGAATTTGACACAAGACACTAATTACAGTGTCAAGAACCAAACTTATTGCCCCAGTCACTGTAACATACCCCCCATGTGACTGCCTCCATTGGGCAGTGCTTGGAGTGTCTGCCCTGGAGGTTAAAAAAGTCGTTTATAGATGTTACTTGTTGTTACCTTGGCTTGCACTCGGTATTTAGGGGATACGACTTGAATCAGTGTACAGTGTGTGACTTAGGTATCCATGTTAAACTGCAGCATGGTCACTCACTCACTCACTTGGGGATGTGCGGTAGCCTAGTGGTTAAAGCTTTCGCTCATCACGGCGAAGACCTGGGTTCGATTCCCCACATAGGTACAATGTGTGAAGCCCATTTCTGGATTGGAATATCTTAAGAACCGTTCACTAGATTTTTTTCATATTTGGTACCTAGGTTCATCACACTATAAGAAAGGTCCAAGTCAGGTTTGGTGACCTTGACCTTCATTTCAAGGTCACAAGGGGACTTTAACGTTTTACCTGCATGTTAAGCTATCTCAAGAACCGTTCACTGGATTTTCTTCATATTCAATACCAAGCTTTATCTAGGGAAGGCGCAGGGCCCAGTCGATTTTGGTGACCTTCACATAATTTTCAAGGTCATGGCGACACTTTGAAGATTTCAGCATGTAAACCTGCATGTTAAGCTATCTCAAGAACCGTTCACTGGATTTTCTTCATATTTAACACCAAGCTTTATCTAGGGAAGGCGCAGGGCCCAGTCAATTTTGGTGACCTTCACTTAATTTTCAAGGTCACAGAGACACTTTGAAGATTTCAGCATATTAACCTACATGTTATGCTTGTCAGCGAGATACCTCAAGAACCATTCACTGGAGTTTCTTCATATTTGACACCAAGCTTCATCCAGGGAAGGCGCAGGGCCCAGTCGATTTTGGTGACCTTCACTTAATTTTCAAGGTCACAGAGACACTTTGAAGATTTCAGCATGTTAAATTGCATGTTAAGATAGTCAGCAAGATATCGCAAAAAATATTCAGTGGATTTTCTTCATATTTGACACCAAGCTTCATCTAGGGAAGGCCCAGGGCCCAGTCAATTTTGGTGACCTTCACATAATTTATAGGGTCACGACGACACTATGAAGATTTCAGAATGTTAACCTGAATTGTCAGCAAGATATTTTAAGAACGGTTCACTGGATTTTCTTCATAGACTTTCAAGACCTCCCTTGAATGTTTTTCAATAAGCAATTTCTTTAGTACTAGTTTTGCATATTTCATACACTATGACATTCATGTCAAGGTCAAAGTCAGTCTTGAAAATATGTGTGTGTTTGAACAACTAAAGAGCAAGATAATGTTTTTGTTGACATTTAACTTCATCTTAAACTTTCATTACTTTATAAGTTTGATTTGATAATTTGCGGCGGGGGATTATGTCACCTTAGTGACAATGCTTGTAAATACATTTGATGACAAAATAGTCATTTTATCCAACAGACAGGTGCCATAATTTATTCTTTTAAAGGAAAAACAGGTTACTTCACTGTTATATCTGAAGTTAGAAAATCAAGCCCATTGTAGTTCAACGCATAAATACATTTGATAACCTTTTTAAAGGAAAAACAGGTAACTTCACTGTTACAAGTTAGAAAATCAAGCCCATTGACAAATAAATACATATGACAAAAATAGTCATTTTATCCAACAGACAGGTGCCATAATTTATTCTTTTAAAGGAAAAACAGGTAACTTCACTGTTATACCTGAAGTTAGAAAATCAAGCCCATTGTAGTTCAACGTTTATAAATACATTTGATGACAAAAATAGTCATTTTATCCAACAGACAGGTGCCATAATTTATTCTTTTAAAGGAAAAACAGGTAACTTCACTGTTATACCTGAAGTTAGAAAATCAAGCCCATTGTAGTTCAACGTTTATAAATACATTTGATGACAAAAATAGTCATTTTATCCAACAGACAGGTGCCATAATTTATTCTTTTAAAGGAAAAACAGGTAACTTCACTGTTATACCTGAAGTTGGAAAATCAAGCCTATTATAGTTCAAGGTTCATAAATACATTTGATGACAAAAATAGTCATTTTTTACACTGATATTCACTATTACTTCTATTGATCGTCTGGCAAATTCATTATGACACCGTGCTGAACACCTGTCTTGTAAGGTCAACAAGACCTTCATATAACACAAATCGGAATTCAATTAAGGGGTGGTATCAAAACCACTATGACTATTGTCAGGCTAACAATGGCTTTTTCATGTAGCACCATTGAAGCAACGGGATAGCAACTGGAGTTTGTGTTAGCTCAAATATTCAAATAATGCTGAATTTATTCTCTGTGCATCAAAGCCAGTGCAGCTATAACCAAAATAACAATGGCTTTTTACTTTGGCAATATTGAAATGGCAGGATGGAAACTGAATTGACATGTTTGCTCATCTGTTCTGATACACGCTGTTTGTATTCTTCGTAATGTTGTGTGCAGTGTTATCAGCAACTGCTATGGTTCGCTGACTCTGTATTGTGAGTGAAATGGCGTTTCTACTTGATGGAGACCATATGCCAGGCTATTGATTCTGTGTGTTGTACCATGTGTGTCGTATTTGATGCATGTCACTCAAGGTGTAAAATGGGGTAGCCTAGTGGTTAAAGCATTGCTCTTCATGCTGAAGACTTGGGTTCGATTCCCCACATGGTACAATGGCGTGAAGCAATTTCTGGTGTCGCCTACTGTGATATTGCTGGAAAATTGCTAAAAGCAGGGATAAGACATACTCACTCACTCACTCATAGTGGAAATACTAATACAATCATCTCATGCACAGTGATGGAAATGTATTTTGTTTAAAGTGTGTCAGGGTACCTAAGTATGTCTAGGTGTGGATTTCGATATTGAAGTGTTCCAAAGTGGCGAATACTTCTTAATGTAAAACAAACTTATGTACAATTTTGGTCCTTTTTTGCTTTGTGGGAGGATACATTTATCACTGATATAACAAAAATTATTACAACACAATATTTGTGTTAAAAAAAGAGTTCCAGGAAAATGTCTTGAGGAATCTAGAAACTCATTTTGTCTGCAATGATGAAGCTGGAATATTGCTGATGAGCATTAACTCAACATTACTCTGAATTTAAAACAGTTGATATGACTCAGGGTTTAGGAAACACAACTTCTTGTGCAGGGTTATTTTCCTCAGTAGAGCCAGGATCTGCTGGTAATTGGTTTAAACCCCATATATGCCTGATTCTTGATCATGGGATCTGTGTTGACTTGCTCCGAGACTGATAGTCAGACCTAAAGTGTGCTACAAATGTCAGTTAAAGTTCCCCAATTGGAATTAAGAAATGTGCAATACTTTTCCTATTCTTCCAACTACTGTTATAGCTTTTTCGAAGGGGCGGTGGGGTAGCCTAATGGTTAAAGCGTTGGCTCGTCACGCCGAAGACCCGCGGGTTCGAATCCCCACATGGGCACAATGTGTGAAGCCCATTTCTGGTGTACCCTGCCGTGATGTTGCTGGAATATTGCTAAAAGCGGCATAAAACCAAACTCAGTCAGTCAGTCAGTTATAGCTTTTTCGAAGTTACATGTATTTCACCAATAATTGGACCATTAGGGCAGGAGAAGCTTAATGCATAGCAGGGCTCAGTTTAAAGAAGTGAAACCTACTCTCCCCTGGTGCAACTTTACGTAGTAACCATGTTGCACCAGTCAAAAAACTGGTTGCACCTGCAGCTCAGTATAAAATTATACATAATGCTTGAGATCACTATGGACTTGGTCACGTTACCTGACACATGTAAATGCAGTGACACTTGTTGTAGTCAATACAGCAATAACACATTATTTACCGTTGTGCTACGACTGTATTGACTGTGTATTGTATGGGGTATAATAGACGTAAACACTGGTTGAACGTTGGATTGTTGGTATGTTGGTCATGATGCTGTGGAAAATACTCTCTCTCAGGCTATGATCAAGATGGTAATATTTTCTAGTATGGTAAGGTGTTGGTTGCAGAATAGCTTAGTTGTCCAAGTTCAGAGCTTTTAATGCATATCTTTGTTGTCCAATCTTAGGCTCATTTTCAAACAATGTTTTGTGTGACAACAATCATAGCAGTGGTGTAAACATTGATGTCAGTTGGATATAACTATTTATATGCATGAATAGTCAGTTTGTCACACCTCTCGGTGAGATGGTGATATGTGGTATATAGTGTTCACGAATGGTGTTTAAAGTAACAGGACATTGGGTCCTCTGAGTTTCAGATGTCTGTCTGACCCATTGAAAATTATCAGGACCCATAGAATAATATTAAGCACACATTTCAGATTTATCATTTCTTATAATTGGCATTGAAATTATTAACAAACATAAGATTTATAAACAGCAAACAAGTGTCACATGTCACATATAACAACTTCAAAGTCATTGTGAAATATACAGTCAGACACTGGGGCTGGCGGGTTGTAGACTTCTATTCTGCTGGATTTGTCAGAGGGTCAGACGCTATTGGTGAACACTGTTGTATACACATACTTACTCCAGTGAGCCAGGGTGTTAACATTACATTGTAAGAGAAGGGATTTATGGGACGTGAATTCCTGCGTCCTATATGCATAAAGATTGGCAATGGACGCAACAAAATGTTACAGCGCATCCACAGGGGTGCAGAAAAAGTCCACATTCATTTTGTAAAATTCCAATCAAGTAACAATAAGTTATCACTGAGTTTGCTACTAGCTGGGTTATGGTATTATTTGCAGTTTAATTACTGTGACAATGTGATGATCATGATACACAATACAATAACAGTAAGTGAATTACAACAATATTACAACATTGTATTAATAATATTTATGTGTCTGGGACCCACATTTTGTAGTCCTGCACCGCTACGACTGTCATAAATCCTATACTGTAACATAGACTTACAACAGTCGTAGCGTTATGATAGCTTTGTGAAACGGGGCGCAGCCCCCGTGAAAATTAAGAGTATGAGTCCCAGGGACACTCAAATTAGGAAAATCCCTGTAGGAGTATTTTCTTTGGTTTAGTTGCCTTTAGTATTGAATATATATTCAGTATAAGACATTTATACTCCCTACCTGTCTGGGAATGTTGAATACTGTTGCATTAGGAAAGTGCTTCCACATTTACTGCTCACTTGGCATGGTTAGAGCCTCCGGGCTGGAGAGCGGAAGGTCTCGGGTTCATTCCCCGGCCACCTGATCCCAAAAGACGTTAAAATTTGGTACTGGTTGGTCTCTGCCTGGCGGTTGGCATTAATGGGTCCAACAAGGACTGGTCGGTTCGGAGTCAGTATAATATGTCTCAGTGGGGTACTCATGCTTCACTGCGGCATGGTATCTCAGTGAGCTAGCACTATAAAACCAGCTTCAGTCTGGGCTAGTACTAGCAGCCGCACATACACATACACACGCATGCACGTCGTCATATGAGTAAAATATTCTCAAGTACGACATTAAACCTTATGTCACCTCACCTAGGCATATGATGCTACTGTCATAGGACCTGTGTCAAGTCTAGTTGTCTACTGTTGAGAAGAGTCTTGGTGAACTGAAGACGTTGTCACATGGTAAACATACTCCCAGTTTGATCAAATCATCAGATTTGTCTTTTAATAGCAGTAAATGTGTGTGGAACAAACATCAACTGACAGCTCTGGCCACACAGGCTACAGATTAAATTGTAAATGGTCAAGGTTTGTGTTGATGTTTCTCACATTTAATGGCTTGAGTTAAATCTTTGTCTGCCTCTAGTGAAATAAGGGACCGTTCATAATATATGGCTAGTGGGGAGAGAGAGAGAGGGGTGGGTGATAGGGAGGGAGTTGATAGGAAGGGGGAGAGAAAGAAGGAGAGTGTGTCACCCATTTTGTTCTGGGGATGTAGAGGGGGTCATCAATTTTCTACACATGTACTAGGGGCGGTGGTCATTGATATTGTACATAACATGCTGGGGGTCACATACTTTGTACATGATTTTTGGCGGGGAGCAGGGGGATGGTCATTCACAGTTTACATGTTTTTCCATAACAATGATCATTCAGTCGACAGAACTGAGATATGTTGACGTGTCAACCAAGTCAGCGAACCTAACTACCCAATCCCGCTAGTCGCCTCTACGACAAGCATGGATTACTGAAGACCAATTCTACGCCATATCTTCATGAGTTACATGTGACTAATTTAGGGCAGCACATGAACATTAGCATGAAGTTAAGCTTAGAAATAGAATTATTTTTGGAAAGGTGTACCTGTCTGTGTTTAAAATACCGTATATTGAATGTCCCCAAAGAATGCAAGTATGTACTCACGGCTCAAACAATTGTCTGATCTCGGTGTTGATGTTGTAGGGTGCATCAGCAGCGTTAGCGGATGCACGCCGCCATGCAGCACGTGCCGGCCACCGTTATCGCCGCAGTAGGGACGCAGCCTTCAATGAGCGACGGTGAGTAATCTTCTCAATCCTGTGTTAAAGCATGTATAGAAAACTGATGCCAGCCTCATTTGACAAGATTATGTTTGATGTGATGGGTAGCCCAGTGGTAAGTGTGTTGGTTTCTCCCACTGATGATCTGGGTTTAACTCTCCACAGAAGTACAGTGCGGGGAGTCGTTATGTGGCTGAAAACCCCCGTTAAAGGCGGCACAAAATCCTATTCACTAGAGAAGATATTTCTTTACATTTAATGTCGATATTGTGTTAAAAAGTAATCAACTTTCCACAGTTGTAGTTTTTTTTGTGTTAAATATCACAGCCAGTTCATATTATAATGTTTAATTCAACTCATATGGAGACCATTGATATGTATGAAATATTTAATTAACCATGTGCTTGATGTAACTATGATATATCTGAGCTGCAATTATATGGAATATGTCACATCTTTTGTCGTTTCGATCAGAAGATGGTAAGATGTGCTGTTGTGTTAATTTGAATATATCCTTGAGTGTAGTGCTTATACTCAATGTGCATCGTGGAGTGTTAGTCGATGGGACTTCGTTTCTCCTCCTCTGCTACAGTGTGCCACTTTGATTTGCAGCCCGAGTGCATTATGAGAGTTATTGCCCTTTCCAATATGTTGATATGGGGAAAGGTTACATATATTTATAACCTATGCATGACTGCATGTTATCTTGATGTGACTGAATATATGCTGCATGCAGAATGACACCAGGTGTTCAGGTGACATCTTCTTGAAGATCACTTGCCCAAAACAAGGGAGATAAGTCAGTTGGCTTTAAAAGGCCACAGGGAAGAGACTGATGTTCAGAAAAAACATATTGTGGATACTGGGAAGGGAGGTAACTCTAAGTGTCATAGAAATCTTTTTTGGAAAAAGAGTCCTTTGAAAAAAATATGAAAACATTAATGGTTAATAACATTAATGGGTACAAAAGGTTATGGAAAGGGAGCCGTGTTATGTTGTTACTTTAGAAGCTGTTATTAACAAAACCGTTTTGTTTACTACCTGCCTCTCAGGTGTACAATGCCCATGAAATTATTTCGGATAAAAATGCATTTTTTAAAACTGGATTAGTTGTCGATCGGTTTTGTCATAGATTGAAATCAGTATGATGTATATTACCGCCTTTATTGACAAAGCTGTCTTGACTTGTTCGTTCACGCGAAGCGATACTACGATGTCATTTTCTTACCACTAGAAAAAAAACCTATTTGACTAATGTGTAACCTGTAGATAAGCTCACGCCCTTCTGCAGACTGTATTTTTTTGTCCTCAAAATTGGACTTATCTATGGTAATATACGGAACCTTAGGATTGGGTATTCACCAAATAAGGCATGTACTTGCACCGAAGAGTTTGGTCCCTGGTGAAGGTTTCCCAGTTACCACATTGTAGCAGATTTCAGCTGTTATTGCTGACTCAGCAGTTCCCTCCACAGTCCCAACACTAACACATGCCTCTGATAACAGCTCATTCTTCATCTCATTCATTTCATCTCTTACTAACACGTCAAGCATTTCTTTTCCAGAAATTGTCATTTTTTTCATGTTTCTTTTTTTTTAGGAAACGCCTAAGTCCAGAGTACTCAGAAATTTCAAGCAAAATGTAGGTCACGGTGACCCACTTTTCGAAATTGCTTTTCTAGTTATCTGCTTTTCTCACCATTGAAACAAGCCTTAATTTTAATACTGGCAGCGGTTTTGGTTTGGGGATTCCCCTGTTACTAAATATAACCCTGTGGTAGGTATGGGTACTTGGTATTCCCCATCAGCAAACCTGTTCTGAAGTAATATGGCCCAGGCTTCATTTCACTTTGTCGTAGAATCGTTACTACGATTTCGTACATTTTTGTGACCTTTTGTTTCCGTTCTATTTTTGTTGAAATTATTTCAGTTTGATTGTTCATAACCTGATGATGTATCTGACAAGCAATCTCCATTTAAGGAAATTTGGGACTGTCATTTGTTCATGCTCTTCTAATCCTGGAAATCTTCATCTGGAAATCTTCAAACAATGTCTGTCAATATTTGGAGACAAATTTGAACAAAACCTGTTTTGATCACAAACATTTTGTTAAACCTGATTAAGGCAAAGTTTGTTTTGGTGATTTTTTTTCTTGTGTTACAAGGATCCTTATTCAGTTTCTAAAACTTCTAATTCTTTATTAGATAGTATGTGTGAAATTACCCTCTTTAATACAGTTTTGGATAATTAGTATTTCATGAAGTCTTGAAGTATATGAAGATTAAGAAAGAATCTGGAGAATATATAAAATTAGTGAAGGCAAAAAACATGGTGTAATTTAAATCAAGCTTAGGTACAGAAACTTACGATATAATCCATGTTCACATAATATGTTGAGTATAATTGCTACAAAGTCATTGAAAGTTGGAATTCAGTGCCTATGAAGTTTGATTATAATTCCCATGAACCTGTGAAATAAGAGTATTGTTACAAGGATATAAATTGCATCACACCTTTAATTAGGGACATGTGTCATATCATGACTTCACCGTATCGTTACTCCTTTAATTATCAAGGTATGCTGATGGGGACCACTGAGTTTGTAATGTGTGTTGATTATTCAGTCGAAGATATACAACAGACCTTCACGGTAGTTATCCTTTATCTGTCAATGCTATTGTCTGTATTCATCCTAGTACAATCTCTATTTCTATATTCAACTTCTCTTCATTTCATTGTCATGGAAACACTAATCACAATCCAAATCATTTCATTCTGCTGTTGCTATATGCTGTAGTTCCTAAGCTGACATGCTGTGATATAAGAAATATACCACACTATTAAACCCTACTGACTCATTCACTACTCACTTATTGGCCTGTGGGGGCAGTGGGGTAGCCTGTTGGTTAAAGCGGTCGCTCGTCACGCCGAAGACCCGAGTTCGATTCCCCACATGGGTACAATGTGTGAAGCCCATTTTTCTTGTGTCCCCGGCCGTGATATTGCTGAAATATTGCTAAAAGCGGCGTAAAACCCAACTCACTCACTCACTCATTGCCCTGTATACAAGGTTTGACAAATGATGTCAGGGCTTAGATGATCTCAACTCTTGTATTTAACATTGACTATCACTGATTTGAGTGCTGAGGTTGGTTTGGAGAGCAAGACCCAGTGCTACATACCTACCACAGGTGATATGGAAAAGTTACTAGGCAATGGGCAATCTTTTTGTTCCAAAAGATGGTGACTCCTTTAGAATGATACAAGTGACAAACCAACCAGCATCCAGCTGCTTCCTCTCTTGTTCCCAAGTCAGTGTGTGCTGTGACAACTTAATACTTGTTTATTAGAGACAAAGACAAGCAAGAACATTTACCTGTTGCATATTCTGTTGTAACATGTAGATCTAATAGGGCTTACAGTGCTCTCAGTTCCAAGGCTGGACAGGCCAAGTCACACACCATTTGTTAGAACAAGCAAGAAAATTGCCCATTGCAAAACATTTTTTGACTATTTATGTTAGTTTAATCATTATGCATTGTGATATTTTATTTCACATTTCCTACCCATTAAGGTCTGGGTTAGAATATTGATCTTCAGTAACCCATGCTTGTCTAAAGAGGCGACTAACGGGATTGGGTGGTGAGGCTCGCTGACTTGGTTGACACAGGTCATCGGTTCCTAATTGCGCAGATCGATGCTCATACTGTTGATCACTGGATTGTCTGGTCCAACCTCGATAATTTACAGACCGCCGCCATATAGCTGGAATACTGCTGAGTGCGGTGTAAAACTAAACTAACTATTTCAAAATTCCAAATTTTATTGATCAATTTGCAAATATGGGTTCTTTCATAACTGTGGAGGGCACACTATGTATTTTTTCTTATAGTCCTCCAAATTTCTTCAAGAAAATTTGCTTGGGTATCCATTATCTTCAAGAAAATTTGGTATACACTTTATTACAAACTGTATATTTCACAAATTCTTTCTTGCATTCTCTTTAAGTTAAACACTTTAAAGTATATTAGTAATTTATTACAAGCCAGCAGACCAGATGAAGAATCTGTTTGTCAAACCTTGTGTTTATTTTTTATTCACTTCTTTTTGTTTTGTTGGTCCAACTGAAACCTTTCCCTTACCTCTGGTTCTAACATCCTACCTGAGGTTAAACACCAATAATAATGTTCAACATTTTATCACTAACTCTGAATAAGAGGGGCCTAGTGGTTAAAGCGTTTACTCCGAAGACCTGGTTTCGATTCCCAACATTTGTACAATTTGTGAAGCCAATTTCTAGTGTCCCCCGCTGAAATATTGCTAGACACAGTGTAAAAGCCTACTCACTCACTCACTCACATATGAAAGGGGGAATTGTTATAGTTCAGGGGAGATAATCTATGGAGCACTTTTTACATCAACACTTCTGCATGCAAGGAAACATTTACATCTTGGGATGTCACTGTATATGATATGGTTTAATTTTTAGTTGTTGTGCTGTAGCTTTTCAAATCATGAAATATCAATGCAAAAATATTAATATAAAAGTGTTTACATATGTTAAGAACCCCATGGTCATAGTTCCAAGATAATGAAAATGAATTTTTCAAAATTCAGTGAATCACCCCAGTTCATATTTTGAGTAGAAGTGATCAATTTCATTTCTGTTTGATCTACATTGCTATCCATGTAGACAGAAAAAGTAACTTCTCCTTAATTGATGACCAGTGAAGATGCGGGTTAGAATTGATCTTCAGTAACCCATGCTTGTCATAAGAGGCGACTAACAGGATCGGGTGGTCAGGCTAACTGACTTGGTTGACACATGTCATCATATCCCAGTTGTGTAGATCAATGCTCATGCTGTTGATCACTGGACTGTCTGGTCCAGACTCTACTATTTATAGACCGCCGCCATATAGCTGGAATACTGCTGAATTCGACGTTAAACAACAGCCAACCATCCTTTAATTGATGTATATTGATATGTCATGATAGTTTTGAGTCGATATATCAATGCTAAAATTTCCTAGCGATGAGACCCATGAAGATCCGGGGTAGAATAGGTCTTCAGCAACACATGCTTGCCACAAGAGGCGACTGTGCTTGTCGTAAGAGGCGACTAACGGGATCGGGTGGTCAGGCTTGATAACTTGGTTGACACATGTCATCGGTTCCTAATTACGCTGATCAATGCTCATGCTGTTGATCACTGGATTGTCTGGTCTAGACTCGATTTTTTTACAGACCGCCGCCATATAGCTGGAATATTGCTAAGTGTGGCGTAAAACTAAACTCACTCACTCACTCCAAGCAATGATTCCCCATGTAGTTTCTGCATGTGAAGAACTTCTATTAGAATAGCTGCTCATCCTTTGTGTACAACCCCAGCAGGCCTAGCCTTGTTTCTGTGTAATGTCTCTGTGACAGTCCCACTCTGTGTTCTGTTCAACCCATGCATGTAAGGTGGCCGTGATGTTTCCTGTTTCCCATCTTCCCCACCTTGATGTTTCAGGAAACCTGAAATAATAATAATGTAATATTTTTATATTTTTTTATCTGTTTTCCAGGGATTGGGATAGAGAACTTTGACAATGGGCCATTTTCAGCATTATTGGCCATTTTCTGAATTTAGAATGGGCCATTGCCCTTGTATCAATAGTAAACTTCCAAATTTTAATGGGCCATCTTTTATTCTAATGTGCAAAATGGCCCATGGCCCCTGTATTTCCCAATCCCTGGTTTTCCCTGCCACTGAGAAAATTCATACCTTGATGTGATAAAAAAAAATAAAAAAAATTATGTTTGCAAACTGAAAAAATAAAATCCAGGTCAGCTTGGTATTTCATCATTTGCATGTATTAAAAAGTTAAATTAAGCTAATTTTAAGCCCATTGTTAAATTTAAAGCCTAATTTCAGGTTATCTATATTTCAAACTTTCAAAAAATGAGTTACACTGATAGTGAAAAACAAATATTTTTTATTTAAATTTGTTCCCCTTTTGCTGGTTGACGTTAGAACTCAGAATCACTTTTAAAAATACTGTTGGTCTGTAGGATACTGTTGCGTTGTGTGGTTGTGTGACATGTGTACAATCCATGGTATCCCTCAATGAGGCCCCGTGGGGCCCTGTATGGGAGCTGTGCGTACCAATTACACATTTAAACTGTTAGATACTCAAAGAGTTTAAAACAAATGTGTACGGAATATATTTATAAAAATTGCTTGCGTAATGAAAAAGACATCAATTGCTATCAAGTTGTATTGTTAGTATAGGAAAAGTGTTGTACTGTCAGTATAGGATGAGTGATATTTTATGAAATCATTTCCCTTATATTTAAGATGGTTTTGACTAAGTATGACATAAGGCAGAACATACCTGCTTAGTAAACTAACTCAATGACATAATACTTAGGTGAGTTAAATGACTGAAATACGCTCATATTTGAAAGCAGTGGGTAACGGAAATGAAATACCCACTCAACATTCATAATACCCACTCCAAAAAAATACAGTGGGTACAGTACCCACATGAGCTAAATCTTATCTGGAGCTCTGCACTCACTCACTCTGACTGAGGATGTGTAGCTAAAACACGAGTGATTGAATGTTCTGTCCCAGGGTGGGACAGGAGACGTGTTCTACCGAGCATAGGTGCGAAGTGGAGTTCGAGTATGGTGTAATACAGCAGTATATGACAGAGATCGCCACAAGGACATAGCCCAGATCTGGTCATACAGAGAACCTTAGTGTGCATATGAATGTGGAGATGTGTTTAACCCAAAGATTCACACCAGTCTGACAAAATGTTGGCTGTTTGTTCAGCCGCTCACACAACCCCGAGGTTTCAGAGCAGGATGGAAGGAAAGGTTGATGGTCGTTGTTTGTGATGTTGGAGAACAGTCTGTCAGGACACGACGTGAACCAGTTCACACACGACCCATGTGAAACGTACAGTTTGTTATTTGTTCTAATCATTTGTGTACATTTAGGATTACGTGTCAGATATTCAGTGACTACTATTCCGGTCTGTTCAATTTTTTTATTGGATTTTATCATCTAATATCTGATTCAATTTTAATGTATATTTTGAGTGAGTGACTTGGGTTTTACGCCGCTTTTTGCAATATTCCAGCAATATCACAGCGGGGACACCAGAAATGGGCTTCACACATTGTACCCATGTGGAGAATTGAACCCGAGTCTTTGGGGTGACGAGCGAACGCTTTAACCACAAGGCTATCCCTCCGCCCCTTGTATATTTTGATGTAAGACTATATTGCAGGTGAACTCCTTTTGTATAATTCTTTGAGACATTGTGGTTTGTGTCAAAATGTTTGTGTGCTTCCAACTGTTTAAGTCAGTATTCATAACAGAGGTTTTGGATCTGTTTGGGGAATAATCCCATTTTGTTGTTTTTAATGTTGGTGTTTTGAAGTCCACTTTCATTTGATATGGCTACATATTGTTTTAAAATTTGTTGGTTTTTGTTGTTGTTTTTTAAAAGTTTTATCTATTTACTTACTTGGTTACAGTTGAACATGATACATGGGTAGAGCAAACTAGTACCAATCACATCTGAAAAAGCAGACAATATAATGTATACAGGGATTCAAAAATCCCATCACCCGACGCCCGGGACAAGTCAGTTTTCATTTCGGGCAATCAAATAATGGTATCTTACTTGTCCGTGGGCTACTAGATAATTTCCACTTATGGTTTTAAACCGCAAATAAACTTGGATTTAATTTCATATCTGCTCAAAATGTAGTTATTACATTTTGGAATGATAATACAGTAGAGTTATCTTTCTTTGCTATTTATCACTTTTCAATAAATAGTCCAGTAAACATTAATATCAAATACCATGTTGATTTCTTCTTTCATAATTACATCATCATAATTATGTCATAAAATCAGGGCAAGTGGAAAATTAGTCAGGACAAGTTACTTTCTTAAAGTCACTTGCCCTGTGGCAAGTGGCTTTTAAAAAAAATTTGAACCCCTGGTATATTGCATTGGGAATATAGATTAAACAATTGAAATGTAGTAACACAGAGAGTGTGAAAAACTAAAATCTAAATTACAGGACAGCATCTAGAACATCCAGTTTTCTGTAAAAATGTTTCTTATCGTTGTTTTTATCGATAAATTTCTCAGTTTCATAAATGTCCTTTGCACTATTTGTTAGATTGAGCTTATTTTCACAGTACTTTACATGTTGTGGAAACCGCAGTGGCTGTGCAAGTTATGTGGCTGACTTTGTGGGCTGGCGATTAGGTGTTTTACTCTAAGGGTGTGGGTTCGAATCCTAGATGCGACTCAACCCAACAAAAGTACTAGAATCTGTACTTTATTGAGAAAGTGTAATCCCAAATTTAACATTGGTTACATGTAAACAAGCTGTCAGAGGAATTACAAATTTCATGAATATCTTCCAGTTTGTATAGAAAATGTTTGATTTTTAGGTTTGATTACAGAAAATATTTAGTGTAGCATTTGAAGAATAATATCAACCCCCAGACACACACAAGAGGACAAGGTCAAGGTCATGTGTATTATGCAATTTGTAGTTAATTATGTCAGTGAGTTTCTACCATGTAGAATAATATTTACAGAACACTGTCATATAGCTGGAATATTGCTGAGTGCGGCGTTAAGCAACAAACCAACCAACCAATAATCTGAGCTAAAAGCAGAGATTGTGACAGTCAAACGTACTGTTTGACTGTCACAATCTCTGCTGTTAACGTACTGTTTGACTGTCACAATCTCTGCTGTTAACGTACTGTTTGACTGTCACAATCTCTGCTGTTAACGTACTGTTTGACTGTCACAATCTCTGGTGTTAACGTACTGTTTGACTGTCACAATCTCTGCTGTTAACGTACTGTTTGACTGTCACAATCTCTGCTGTTAACTGCTGTTAACGTACTGTTTGACTGTCACAATCTTTGCTGTTAACTGCTGTTAACGTACTGTTTGACTGTCACAATCTCTGCTGTTAACGTACTGTTTGACTGTCACAATCTCTGCTGTTAACGTACTGTTTGACTGTCACAATCTCTGCTGTTAACTCAGATTATTGGTCGGTTGGTTTGTTGTTTAACGCCGCACTCAGCAATATTCCAGCTATATGGCAGCGTCCTGTAAATATTCGAGTCTGGACCAGACAATCCAGTGATCAATGTCATGAGGATCATTCTGTGCAATTGGGATTCAATGACATGTGTCAACCAAGTCAGCAAGCCTGACCACCCGATCCCGTTACTCTCCTCTTATGATGCTCTTAGTCTTACAAGCATGGGTTACAGACGGCCATTCTAACCCGGATCTTCACGGTCAAACTGAGATTACCTGACCTACAACCAATATGATCATGTAATATTTCCGCTCGACAGATGAGGATGTAGTGATTAGGAAAACACCTTTCAAAATACTAAAGCTTTAATTAGTTTAGTTTCCCATGTTTACTAATTCAGTATTCCAAGCAAGGGTCAGTAGGACTTACTGAAACACAATATTGTTATGTTAAGAGTGTGTAGTTGGCATAATTATTGTCACCTCTGAATAATCCCCTGTAAAATTATACCTAATTAATACATCAGTGTTAATAATTCTTGATTAAAATAGAAATACAAATTTGAGAAGTTATGATGTTGGTGTTAGTACTTAGTGAAATTAGATACTGTTCTTCATGAGTTATTCACCATGCATGGTATACGATATTGGCCCATATCTGTGTTATCTCCCACCTGGTGAGCACCTGTGTCAACTGGCTAGAGATACAACACCATCATGTGTATGGCAGATTCCATTTTCCTGAGGTAGGATTTACCTGTGTAATTTAAAAGAAATCAGAAATCCTATTTTCTATTACTATTATTACTTCTAATAATGACAAGCCAGATCTAGGGATGTAAAGCAAAAATAAATAAATAAATAAATAATAAATAAATAAATAAATAAATCGTATTCTCTATTACTATTATTACTTATAAAAATGACAAGCCAGATCTAGGGATGTAAAGCAAAATTAAATAAATAAATTAATTAATAAATAAATCAATCAATCAATTAATAAATAAATCAGTAAATAAATCATATTCTCTATTACTATTATTACTTCTAAAAATGACAAGACAGATCTAGGGATGTAAAGCAAAATTAAATAAATAAATAAATAAAGTGTGAAACCCAATTCTGGTGTCCCCATCGTGATATTGCTGGTATATAGCTAAAAGTGACGTAAAACCTTACTCACTATATTGTCTGTGGAATTGGCTCAGTTACTGGGTTCATCATGTATCACATGTCATACTGACAACTTGTGTGTATCTTTTTAGGGCAGATAGTCTTTATCAAATTAGAATTTCTTCAGTCGTTAAACCCTTATAATAGAATAACCAGTGTGCTGTTATTCCCTGATGTCGCTAATGCTTTTTAGAAACCTCAACTTAGTGCAACATAAGCTTCTGTGTCATGTTCCAGCATGGCTTCGCAATGATTTAGGAAAGTTAAAATTACCATTTCGTAACTGTATGGTAAAACCCTCTGCAAAATTCGCATCTGTATTATGTTACGGCATGGCTTAGCAATGATTCAACAAAGTTGAAACGACCATTTGGGAAGCTGTATGGTAAAACCTTCTATCATGGCAGCTTGTTGCAGTATACCTTTACAGGTTTTATAGGTTATAACAGCATTGCTGTTGTATACTGAAGGAAAGAAAAAGGTAACATACATGAAGAGAATCGTTTGTTTCACGCATGAATATCTTGCATATTGTCATTTCTGCGAGTATCTTTCAGATGATTGGTTAGCTGAAATAAGTATACACAAGATACTAACATTTCCCATTGTGTCAGTATCTCTTTGTATCAAATATCTGAATGCTACATGAAACTGTCCTCTATATTGCTGTATGTTCCCTTTCTTTTATCTGTCAGTATATCCAGTAAATATATATGTTATCCACTGGTCAGAAAACAAACACATGCTGTAGCTCTGTCTTTGTCTGTTTGTAAGAAATATCGTACTAAAGTCTGCCACATTGCTATGTTCCCTTATTTTATTCTGTGAGTATATTGAGCATGCGTCTGTATACTCCAGGTACCAGGAGAGTAGTTCCGACCAGTTCAGTGAGTCAGATGAATGTTACCGCCCAACAAGTCGGAGCCGGGCTCGTCATGCTCGGCGTGACGTGGAGGGCAGCAGTAGCAGCCCCACCACTAGCATCTACGGCAGCCCTCGCTCCAGCGCCAACCTCGACAAGCTGAAGGCATCATCAAGGGATAGTCTGATATCTCGTAGCAAGTCCACTGACTATGTCACAGGTAGGAGAACCTGTTAACACTGAGACTCATATGTCCGTGATGTAGGCTTGCTGCTGCTGCTGATTTATTTATTAACATGTGTAAGCGTGTGTTTATATATCATCTTCACAATAATAAGAACTTGTAATACAGATCAGTCAGCTGGTGAAGTAGTTCCGTGGGATTTATTTTTATATCTTTTATACTTAAATCATAAATGAAGCTTATGCTCATTTCCGAAGCAGAACTCCAAAACTGTCAAATATTTCTGGATGAAACTTTCCCACATATCAGGGCCTAGATTTTCGAAACATTCGTAGCCCTAAGAATTCTTAATTTTGATCATAGCCAATGTGTTAAGAATGGGCTTAAGAAGTTTGTAGGGCGACGAACATTTCGAAAATCTAGGCCCAGTCTAGTTGTGAAGTTTATTTAATGATATGGTATATGGAATAACACTGAACAGCATTATGCTTTTGTCTTCTCTGAAGATATCTGATGGCATTGAACCAAAACTGGGTTTTAAGTTGCCAACCTATGAATAACACCAAACCAGGGTATGCTATGTTCAGATGACTCTTGTTTTCATTACCATAACGTCGTATAACATGTTTCCAGTATGGTATTTTGTGGACTTTTTAATAGACATCATCTTTGTGAGGTGTTTTCATTATGACATCATCTTTAATTATGACATCATCTTTGTGAGGTGTTTTCATTATGACATCATCTTTAATTATGACATCATCTTTGTGAGGTGTTTTCAATATGACATCATCTTTAATTATGACATCATAATTTTGGGATGTTTTCATTATGACATCATCTTTGTGTGGTGTGTTCAATATGACATCATCTTTGTGTGGTTTGTTCAATATGACATCATCTTTGTGTGGTGTGTTCAATATGACATCATCTTCAATTATGACATCATCTTTGTGAGATGTTTTCATTTATGGCATCATCTTTCATTATGTCATCATCTTTGTGAGGTGTTTTGTGAATTCATCTTTGTGACGTGTTTTCATAAGGACATCATTATACCGTGTTTTCATTATGACATCATCTTTGGGTAGTTTCATTACACCGTCATCTTTTTTATCCCCCGCAACGCGTTTTGCGGGGGGTATTAAAATGGACTCCGTCGGCGTCGTCGCGCGTCGTCCGTCCGGTCTGCGTCGTCAAGGTCCGTCCGTCCGTGCACATTTGTCTTTTCCGGAGCAGAACTCTAAAACCGTTCAATATTTCTTCACCAAACTTGGCACATACATGGATCTGGTGGTGTACTGGTGCCTTTTGGTAGTTTTGGAATTCTGAATTAAATATTTTTGGCGTTTTCATGGCAACAAGTTCGACTTTGACTGAAATTGGTGGTAGTGCTCTTTTCCGGAGCAGAACTCTAAAACCGTTCACTATTTCATCACCAAACTTGGCACATAGAGAGATCTGGTGGTCTACTGGTGCCTTTTGGTAGTTTTGGAATTCTGAATAAAATATTTTTGGCGTTTCCATGGCAACAAGTTTGACAACCTGAAATTAGTGGTAGTGCTCTTTTCCGGAGCTGAACTCTAAAACTGTTCACTATTTCTTCACCAAACTTGGCACATAGATAGATCTGGTGGTGTACTTGTGCCTTTTGGTAGTTTTGGAATTCTGAATAAAATATTTTTGGCATTTCCATAGCAACAAGTTTGACTTAGCCTGAAATTGTGGTAGTGCCCTTTTCCGGAGCAGAACTCTAAAACCGTTCAATGTTTCTTCACCAAACTCGGCACATAGATAGATCTGGTGGTGTACTGGTGCCTTTTGGTAGTTTGGGAATTCTGAATAAAATATTTTTGGCGTTTCCATGGCAACAAGTTTGACTTAGGAGCACTATCACCAATTTCAGTCTTTCTGGAGCAGAACTTTCAAAACCTTTCAATACTCTCCTTCCACTTTTCTATATACACACCTAAATATTTGACATAATCATAACTTGTAGACATAATCATGAAGAGTATTTTGCCATTGCGGGGGATATTGATGACTTTGTCTTCTTGTTTTATTTTCATTACTACATCTTCTTTATGTGATCTTTTCATAATGAGGTCGTGAGGCGTGTTCATCATGACATTGTGAGTTGTTTTGATCGACAGCGAAAGACAGTGGTGCTGAGTTTGAGGACACGATGACGATGATTGACAAGACACAATATGAGGAACTGCTGAATGAGTACACGGAACTGGCTACGGCCATGAAGGAGACGAGGCAGGAGCTGTCTAAACTACAAGATCTGGTGAGAGACACGTACCATCGTAGTCGCACTTTGTAGTTCTCACGCAGATGCGTGATTGGGTGGTCAGGCCCGCTGACTTGGTTGACGCATGTCATGCCATCGTATCTCAATTGCGTAGATCGAGGCTCACGCTGTTGATCACTTGATTGTCTGGTCCAGGCTCGAATACTTACAGACCGCCGCCATATAGCTGGAATATTGCTGTGTGCGGCGTAAAACTGAACTCACTCAATTACTGTCTGGTCAAGACTTGATTATTTCCACCCTGTTGTCATTTAACTGGTAAAATGGATATGGAATATGGAATGACATACCCCATACTTGTCATAAACTGACTAGACTGGGGATCTAGGTTGGCTAGACTTGCTGGCTGGGTTGATCCATGTCACTGTATAGATGTGAATCACTGGATTGTCTGGTCTTGTTGGCTAGACTTGCTGACTAGGTTGAACCATGTCATTGCATAGATGTGAATCACTGGATTATCTGGCCTGACTTGTTGTGTACAGACCTACGTCATAGGGCTGGAATATTGTAGAGTGCAAACTAAAGTACTACAGAAGAGACTTGCTTGTGTTTGACTGGTGATCTTGTGCCCCCAGCTCCTGAGCGGCAAGGCTCCAGAGGGGGACAATGAGAAGCAGGAAGACACATTTGAAGGCTGCACACCACACGACAGAATAGTATGTATCAAATTGTTTCTGTGTCTTTCTTGCAGAAATGCTGACAGATCACAGACTTAAAAATACCAATCTAGCTGAGCCATTGATTCCTGAAATCATCTTTAATTGTTTATGTAACTCATTTTATCATTTTTTGTGTAGTGTTCTTAGTCAGTTGTTACGATATGGTTTTCTTCGTGATATTGATACTTGCCATATTCACAAATCAATCAATCTGTCAATGATATCAATTACATCAATCACATCACAACACATCAATCACATCACATCAGAGTTATGACTTGGACCCACTAACTTTCACACAAAGAATGGGGCCGGTGGTGTAGCCAAGTGGTTAAAGCGTTCGCTCGTCATGCCGAAGACCCGGGTTCGATTCCCCACATGGGTACAATGTGTGAAGCCCATTTCTGGTGTCCCCTGCCGTGATATTGCTGGAATATTGCTAAAAGCGTCGTAAAACCAAACTCACTCACTCACTCACACAAAGAATGATGTGACACAATGGAGTAATGTTGTAGGCGGTGTTGCGGAGTCGGCTGCTGCAGCAGAGTGAGCTGTGCGAGGACTTGAGGTCGGAGCTGTCCAAGTCGAAGAACGAGTGTATGCAGCTCCAAGGGACAAGGGTAGGTCATGTAACGTTTGGTTCCAGCGTTTGGTTCCAGCAGTTGGTATTTGTTTCGGAAGCCTTTTAGGGCCATTAGCCTTAAATTGTTATTTTGAAATTTACCGATACTAAAGTGAAGTTTCAAAATGACTTCTTTTAGTGGTATTTAGAAGCTGATATGATGAAGACGACAATTTTTTTATGGATAGACAACTTTTTTATTGCAATATATGCTAACATCGTTATCAAGTCAGCAAAATGCTCTGTAGAATTTTCATGATGCTGTGTTGAAATTATAACATCATGAGCTGATATTTCAGGATGAATTATTAGTATATACAATATGTAGAGGATATTATATGAGTGCCCATGTTATGTTTACGACACGACACTAAATTTTGGTATTTCCCGAGCGAGAGCGAGGGATATACCGATATTTAGGCACGAGTGTCATAAACATAGTATGACATGGGCACGAATATAATATTATGTTTATTACCGAAGTCGTCGAATTGAGGAAAATAAATCCAAATCTACTTTCAAACATAGGCTGTCTACCCGCCGTTGCCGTATGTAGAATGCAATGTCACAGAAGAAATGTGACGTCCTTGTATTGTTCATGATGTCACGTCACCATGACAAAGTGATATTTTGGCCTAGGGCATCGTATGAAAAATATAAACCCTGATATGTTCGCCCTCGTAGGTAATATAAACAAATAGCAGCAAGGTTAAGTGCATGCTCTTGTGTTTTAGTCCGGCCTCCAACATCGGCTCTGTGAACAGAACATCTCTCTGTCTGCTCTTAAGTCAGAACTCCTGCAGAAGGACTTCCAGAAACAGAACATGGAAGCTGAGAAGGTCAGTTGGCCCGATACGGAATCTGGTTGCTCGGTAAACTGGTGGATGTATCCAGCTGTCTAATTGGGTAGTTGACGGCCTATACGGATATCATATCGCACTGTTCCATGTGATGTCACATGATAGTTGACTCTGTAAATAATCTGGTGGCTCAGAATACTGGTACAAGCTATCCAGCTGTCTGATTGGGTAGTGGCCGGTCTACACAGATATCATGTCATAGTGTTCCATGCGATGTTCCTTGTCACGTGATAGTTAACCCTTGAATAATCTGGGGGCTCAGTATACTGGTACAAGTATCTGGTAACCGGACAAAATCCACCCCATAATTGCCACCCCGGACAAAATCCACCTCTTCTTAACAGTAAAATGGACAAAATCCACCATTCTCAAATTGCTGTAGTTAAAAGTTTTAGTGTGTCCTGATCTTTGATCAAGATGTTTTTCTCAAGCATTGCAAGCATTGTTTTGATAGCATTTACGTTTTCCTAATTGGCTGTTGTTCCTAGATGTTGTTTCAAACATTAAAGGTTTCTCCATTTCTCATATTTTGATCATTACTTAATCCCCTTTCATGTATAATTAAAGAATTAAGATGTTTTTGCAAGCCTGATTGGAGCCCTTTTGATAGAACATACTTTTTAATGAGTTTGAGATCATCCTGTTTATTTTAAATGAGTTTGAGATCATCTAGTTAAGATGCAAGGCTTCTATAGTATATATATAGTTTGTGTCAAAAATGCAAATTCACCATACATCATGGAAGTGATACGGAACAACAAGGGTGGTTCGAAGTTGCTATATCAGAGTTATTCGTACATAAAGAACGAAGAGAGCAAGTCAACAATTAGGTGGGAGTGTTCCCAACGGAAACCGCTGTCTTGCAAGGGTTCAGTGACCACAGACAATGAAGACGCGAGAGAGTTCTGTGCTATGATCGATGGGCTTGCTTTCTTGCCTGTCACCGACGTCAAGGATGGAATGGCCTACCTAACAGACGCCGTCTCCGAGGACCTTGAGCCACTGGTCGACTACTTTGACACGACATACGTCACAGGCACCTACTGCCAGATTCGCCGCTCAGGACAGTCCTCACTGCGTTTCCGCCGCATCAAGCCGATGTATCCTCCACAAGTTTGGAACGTCCATGAGATCACTCTCGAGGGTGGTTCTCGAACAAACAATGTGTGAGAAGGTTGGAACCACGCGTTTAAGAAACTGATAGGACATTCCCACTCTACTGTGTGGAGACTCATCGACTGTCGGAGAAAGGGGCGGTGGGGTAGCCAAGTGGGTAAAGAGTCGGCTCGTCACGCCGAAGACCCGGGTTCGATTCCCCACATGGGTACAATGTGTGAAGCCCATTTCTGGTGTCCCCTGCCGTGATATTGCTGGAATATTGCTAAAAGCTAGAGACTGAACAGGTTGTATTGGTGTTTCAGGCCAGCTTGTTGAAGCAGTTGCAGGAGCGGGACAAACTGATCTCAGACATCAAGGTGGGTAGATACGGACGGAAGATATATGTCATAACTACCCACTCACTCATACTTTTGTCCTCTGTCATTGATTTGTAGACCAAGGTGGGTAGATACGGCCTGGAGATATATGTCATGGCTACCCACTCACTCATACTTTTGTCCTCTGTCACTGATTTGTAGACCAAGGTGGGTAGATACGGCCGGGAGATATATGTCATAACTACCCACTCACTCATACTTTTGTCCTCTGTCATTGATTTGTAGACCAAACCTGGTTTATTGCTTTCCTGTGTTGCCGTGTACCAATACCAGTGGCTTTCTGTGGTGCTTGCAGAAGGACATTCAGAAGCGTGACAACAAGATCGACACTCTCCAGCATGACTTGCTGCTCCAGATTCAGGAGAAGGAGTCCACCACTCGCTGTCTCAAGTCTCAGATTCTGGACCTCCACAACAAGCTGAAGGTGGTCGGGGAGACAGGGGTAAGACAGGGTGTTGTACATACTGGACAACAAGCTGAAGGTGGTCGGGGAGAAAGGGTGTTGTAGATACTGGACAACAAGCTGAAGGTGGTCGGGGAGACAGGGGTAAGACAGGGTGTTGTAGATACTGGACAACAAGCTGAAGGTGGTCGGGGGGACAGGGGTAAGACAGGGTGTTGACAGATACTGGACAACAAGCTGAAGGTGGTCGGGGATACTGGACAACAAGCTGAAGGTGGTCGACAGGGGTAAGACAGGGTGATACAGGACAACAAGCTGAAGGTGGTTGGGGAGACAGGGTACACAACAAGCTGAAGGTGGTCTGGACAACAAGCTGAAGGTGGTCGGGGAGACAGGGGTGGTCGGGAGACAGGGTGTTGTAGATACTGGACAACAAGCTGAAGGTGGTCGGGTGAGACAAGGGTGTTGTAGATACTGGACAACAAGCTGAAGGTGGTCGGGAGATACTGGAAACAAACTGGGTGTTGTAGATACTGGACAACAAGCTGAAGGTGGTCGGGAGACAGGGTGTTGTAGATACTGGACAACAAGCTGAAGGTGGTCGGGGAGACAGGGGTAAGACAGGGTGTTGTAGATACTGGACAACAAGCTGAAGGTGGTCGGGGAGACGGGTAAGACAGGGTGTTGTAGATACTGGACAACAAGCTGAAGGTGGTCGGGAGATAGGGTGTTGTACATACAACAACAAGCTGAAGGTGGTCGGGGAGACCTGGACAACAAGCAGTGGTTCATGCATGCTGATTATGTGTCTCTCTGCTTTTATTTGACAAGCTGAAGGTTGCATGACTTATTGTTTCAGATATTTATCGTTGGGTATTGTTTTGGGATAAATCAAAGTTTATTGGGGATATATGGACCTACCTTGTATGAGCAAAGTGATATGCCCCATGTATATCTGTTCGATTACCTTCTTAGACTAAGAACTCTAAGGGTATGAGGGAAGATAGCTTTGTATTCTGTTATTATTTATTGTGTGTATTATCATTTTCAAAGGTGATATATTCATTATTTTCCAGTGGTGTCAGTTGTCCTCTTGTAGTAATGAGTTTCGGCTATGACCATGTGTGTATTTAGCTTTTGATTAAACAGGTAACATTCCAACAACAGAAAACACAATGTATCATGTTCTTGAAACAATCAGGTGCCTGATACTTGTTTTGTGACAAAGATCACTTGTGTCAAAGGTTATTTTCAGACCATATTTATTGCTTCATAGACCTCCTTGGCCAACCAACATATTGTCAGCGCTTTAAGGTTCAATTTCAAAACAAAAACTGAAATGGAAATTTTGACCAAAATTCATATTCTATTGAGACATCGGGTTAGGGTAAAAGTGAACATATTCTGTAGGGGCTCCCTAGATTTTAATATCCTGGAACTGTCCTAACCAGGGTACCCCATGTCACTGTTAGGCGTCCTGACCAGCTGTAACATCAGTCAGGTTGCTACAGTCAGTGAAAAAAGCCGTTCAGTATCACAAGAGGAAAATAATGAAAGCACTTTCTGGAAATTAATGCCGACATGTTCAATGGACTCTCTTGAACATGTCCTAAATATGTCACCTTGTATCCATCTTTGCTGAACTTCTAGAGAAGTCTTACCTGCCTTCAGCGTCATCCAGGTGTATAACGAGATTGTGTATGACTGTAGCGAGGAGTGCACAGTTAGACCCCTCTACCCCAGCACTGTTTTGTTGTAACTGGTTCAGGAGTCTTACAATTTTCTTTCTACGTCAAAGTTCTTTTTTTTAGTTTAGATATTTACGAGACATTTCCAATGCAGTATTTGATAAATCAGGAATTTAAAAGGGCCAGTCTAAGTAAACTTAGGCTCAGTATTATTCGTTACACTGCTATACTGGGTCTACCAAAACCTAGTAGAAGGTCCCGTCAGCTAACATTTTGAACTGACCAATCAGAACACAGCTTTCCAAATCGTGAAAGTTAACATTTGCACATACCGTTTGAACCTTTACCTACAAAACTTGAAGTATTCCGAATGCTATTTTCCACACGATCGCTTCCGAGTGATACACGCAATGAGTAATCAGTCGCTGAAAATAGCGTTTTTGTCAATATTCAAGGATGTAATCTTGCGAAAATATAAGCAAATAGTAACCATGTCATTAGAAACCCATAAGTGTATATACTGCAGGTCAAATATCTGCGTTTTATGCGGATTTTCGTTTGTTGATAGATCAGTGTCAGAGAAAATCCAAAAACCGTTTTGTAAGTCCCACTGAACCCTAACAAGTAGTTGTTGTCTGAGTGGTTTAATCCGTTCGGCCGTCTCGCGTTTGATTGGACGGTCATAGGTCGCTCAAAGGTAAGCTGACGCGACCTTCTACTAGGTTTTGTAGGACTCAGTGTAGCAGTGTAACGAATAATACAGAGCCTAAGTTTAATTAGACTGTTAAAAGTAGCTTTAGATCGATAATATTTTCAATTCTTTTATAATTTTTTTTATTTCAACTATTTACATGAAAGAAAATAAGTGTCATCCATGGGATGAAGAAAGAAATCTGTTGATGGATGTTTTTGTCAGTTTTTTTTATGTTTATAATTTTTTCATAATAAGAAAGATGATAAAACCGAACAGAGGAAAAAAATTATTGATCATGATATTTATTGGGATAAATTAAAAACGTAACTTTTACCATTTGTTTGGAAGAGAATGTAAAGGGGTACTCAAGACATATCCTGTTGGTAATACAGAAACTAGAAGTTCAGCAAGGGAAAGGCTTAATGTAACCTTTTCATTCTTGTGTCTTGTCAGGCCACACTGTCTGCGCAAGTTGCCACTCAAGATAAGAGAATGGCCAAGTTAGAGGGTAAAATATTCCATCCACACCCAGAAAACGGAAGTCCCACCTCTCGAAGTGTAAGAGTAACTAACTATATCCTAGATGTCACTAACCGTTAACACCTGTTTTCTAAACTGTAGACGTTCTATAGGAGAGTGTTAAGGCGTTCGCTTGTCACGCTGAACACCCGGGTTCGATTCCCCACATGGGCACATTGTGTGAAGCCCATTTCTGGTATGCCCCGCCGTGATATTGCTGGAATATTGCTAAAAGCGGCATAAAACCCAACTCACTCACTCACTCACTCACTCTACCGGAGATTAGTTCCTGCTCTTTCCCTGAAATATCAACATAATTATTGGCACTATTGCAAGGGATCTTGACTCAAAATAGGGAAGTTTTCGTTTGTTTTGGATATTATTCATGTGTTTGTGTGTTGAATGTGTTTTTTTTTATCTGATATTATTTTTTCATCACATCCTATCCTCTACTTTGTCTCTATGAGGAAATATGGTGATTTACATCTTTTTGAGCACAAGCTGTAGTTTTGACACGTTATGTTCCTATATCTGTTCCTGCCATCACATCTCCCCTCAAGTGGGGTGTGCATATTGTGCATGAACAGTATGGATTTAGTCTGTAAGACAGGTGCTGCATTCTTACGGTGGAGGAACTGTATTTCAGTGGTCAAGGCGAACATACCCATCGTGGCCTTCACATTCTGTTCTGAGGGGCGGGGTAAAGTGGTTAAAGCGACTTCGTCACCAAGACCCAAGGTTCGATTCCCCTACATGGGCACAATATGTGAAGCCCATTTCTGGTGTCCCCGCCTGGAGCTGAATATTGCATCAAACTGCCTTCACACTCACTTACTTTCTGAGAAATGTCAGGACTTTTGTTGATACCTAAGGGGCAGATAACTCTAAGAATCCTCAGAAATGATCACATACCCATCATTGCCTTCACATTCAGTTCCTTTGAGAATGTCAGGGCTTTTGGTGTTATCTAAGGACAGATAACTCTAAGAATATGATGCCATTCATAACTGTCAAGACCTTTTGGAAAGTTGTTTTTGCATTCGAGAATTTCTGTCAACATTATGGTTTTATAATTTCACGCATTCTCAGAAACAATCTGCCATAGAGTTGCCCTCTGGAATTTGGATAGAAGGACTGTGTGTAGATTTCAGAAATAGCAGCTAATTAAGTTATGTTAATGGAAAACGCTTTAGGAGTTTGCCAGAGTCACAGCCGGGAGTATCATGTTCTTGAAACCGTAAGGTGTTTGACAAAGATCAGTTGTGCCATAGGGGAAAGTAATTTTGGTTTAATAAAGTTTGTTTCAAGACTGTACAGAAGGTAAATCAACCTTGATACTATTTTTGGTGCGTGACCAGATTGGAAAAGGTTGTGACATGTATAAGGTCAGGGTCATAAGGTCAAGGTTTTATGAATAGTTGTGTTTGTCATTTTCCCTCCAATGCTTTTGGTCGAATATTGCTATAAGTCAAAATTATATAGAGGTGATATTGTTTCAATATTAATATGTATGAGGTTAAAGTTTTTTAGATACATTTAGCTGAATCAGTGTGGAACCTGTTACAAATGATCGTTTTAAGTGTTGAGATCTTTTGCTAGATAAAACTTGCATGCAAGTCAGTAGTACTAACACTGTAGTAGGTGATGTATCTGATGATGGTAGCCTAGTGGTTCAGGCGTTTGCTTGTTATGCCAACGACCCATGTTCGATTCTCCACATTGATGCTGTGTGTGAAGCCCATTTCTGATGTCCCCAGCTGTGATATTGCTGGAATGTTGCTAAAAGTGTTTTAAAACCAGGGCTCCAGATAATTTTTCAACATCAGGAGTACGTATTCCTTATTTTTTAAATATAGGAGTACTGGAAAAACTTTTAGAGTACTGAATTGAATTTAATGGAGTATGCGATCTTGTGTTTCGTTTCACATATGCACCACAGCATTGCTACTCTTGTGTAAACAGGTAAAAAACAATAAAACAATACTTTTTTCAGATAAATACGTCTGTAAATGATTCTAAGACCATACACCACTGCTGTGGTGCGTATCTGCTACTGTTTCTAAATTATTTCCTACCGTATCGTGCATATATTTTATCCGTACGTACGCCGATACGGCCCTTATCTGGAGCCCTGTAAAACCCCTCTCACTCACACACTATGATGATATATATGGTCTGCAGAATGTATGTTGAGCTCAATAGTACATGACTAATTCTGTACCGTGAGATGGTTGAGATGGACAGGATATAAGAAGCTGTGAGTTCTTGAGCTTTAAGTCCTGTTGAGAATTTGCGGCGTGCTTGTCCTAAGAGACGACAAAAGTTTGTTCTGACATAACCTGATATGTCCCTGGATCCTTGTTAAGCTGTATCGTTAACTAAAATTTTACTCGCCTTTAAAGGTGCGGTGGGGTAGCCAAGTGGTTAAAGTGTTTGCTCGTCACGCTAAAGACCGGGGTTCTATTCCCTACATGGGTACAATATTTGAAACCCATTTCTGGTGTCCGCCGCAGTGATATTGCTGGAATATTGGTAAAATAGGCGTAAAACTAAACAAACTCATGCAGCATTAAACAATATTGACTCACTTTTATGCACAGTCCAGATCCAGTACTGGGTCATACTTGACAACACAGTTCTTGACAAAACCAAGTGTATTAACATTGGTTTGTTGTTTAATGCCGCATTCAGCAATATTCCAGCTATGTGGCGGCGGTTTGTAAATAACTGAGTCTGGACCATCGATCTCCGCTACTGGGATATGATAACATGTGTCAACCAAGGCACGTTCATAATTTATGGCTAAGGGGGTGATGATGATTTTTATGGAGAAGCATGTACAAACATGAATGGCCCCCTCCTCCCTCCCCTAAATTTATGTACAAAGTAAGTGACACCTCTGCATGTCATGTACAAAATCAATGAACCACCCCCACCCCTCTAGTACACGTACTAAATTGATGAACCCCCACCTCCCCAAAATAAGATGGGTGACACACAACCACTCCCGTTAAAATCATCATCTTGTCCCCCCTAGCCATATTGTTAATGGTCCCCAAGTCAGCGAACCTGGCCCCCCGATCCCGTTAGTCGCCTCTTACGACTTGTATAGCTTGCTGAAGATCAATTCTAACCCGGATCTTCATGTGTCATGTGTATTAACAAGTACTAATCAACTAGGATTGACATTGTTGCATGTTTGTGAGGTGTTGGTCAAGGTGTAATATTGTTCTGAAACTATAGTATAACATATGTTACCAGTGTGCGAAATAGCCACTGGCCGTTAGCCCGTGGCTAGTAAAAATCCAGTCGGGCCAGTAAATCTCCACTGTCACTGGCCAGACTGGCTAGTGAATTTTCATGGTGTCATTTTGTAAATATATCACTCTCTCCGATTTGGAAATTTGGAAACTATTTCGCACACTGTATGTTACAGTAGTTCTTAATAAGAGTAACATTAAATATAATATCTCTTGAGGTGAGATTGGTGCGGAGTGGTGTTTGTAATCACAAATATGAGGGTGTGTTCTCCTTGCAGAGCGGGCCGGACGAGCTCCAGGCTGTGCGTGAGTCGCTGCAGAGCCTGAGGCTTCAGTACCAACCCACAGACCCCCAGTACAAGTCAGTAGACAGTCTGGAGCACAGCATTGCGTCACTCCTAGAACACCTGTACTCCTTCAGCAACTGTGCCACACCCGTCAACAGGTCCAGTGTCAATGTGAGTGGCTGTTGATACAACTCATCCTCCACCACTCTACCACGCTCCACCACTCTCCACCCTCCACCACTCTACCACGCTCCACCACTCTCCACCCTCTCATTCCACCCTCACTCTACGCAATCTCACTGATCACTCACTCCCACTCAACCCCTAACAACCTCTCTTAACCCAAACTACAATCACTGTTTTGCCTGGCATCAGTGTTAGCGAATCTCTGAAACAGTCCACTCTACCAAACTCAACTCTCCGTCCTATCCCACTGCCCCCCACTCAACCCCTCTCAACCCCTCACAACCTCTCTTAACTCCACCCTACCCTCACCATGTGGCCCAGTGTCAGTGTATGCTGTAGACGGTCCACCTCAGAAGTTCAGTCATGTCTGTTATGTTTCAGTCAGTGGAATCATCACCAAAGAGAATGAACTACGACAAGGCCAGTGATGTGAGGAGAGCCTCCAACAGTTCCGCTACAGGTAACAAGTCCTCAGGTGTAGTATCGCTCTCTTCTCAGCCCTCTTACCTCAGTCACTGGCCCGACTGGCTAGTGAATTTTCATGGGGGGCATTTTGTAAATATATCACTCTCCGACTTGTTAAATTATAATACACTTTTAATCATGCAAGATTATGGCCTGATGAAAATGTTCATCATATACTGAGGGAAACAAATAAGGGATGACATGAAAGGCCACGTGTTCCTTTATTTTTTCCAAGGTTTCTGGGCCGGTGGGGTAGCCTAATGGTTAAAGTGTTGGCTCATCACGCCGAAGACCTGGGTTCGAATCCCCACATGGGCACAATGTGTGAAGCCCATTTCTGGTGTCCCCTGCCGTGGTGTTGCTGGAATATTGCTAAAAAAAAAGGCATAAAACTTAACTTGCTCACTCTAGTGGATAGGGCATCAGCCCAGAGAGGTGAAGGTCGTGGTTTTAGTACCTAGCTTTTCGCCAGGCACAAAGGTGTAACACAAGAGCTTGTGTGCTTGTATTTTGATGGTATCTGTTTGCTAGCATTGTAAAACTGGCATTAGTCATACAGAACAGGCTACAAATAGATACACGTTCCTTCATAGTGCAGAAACATTAAGACCCATGAAGATCCAGGTTACAATTGGACCCACGCTTGTCGTAAGAAGCGACTAACGGGATTGGGTGGCCAAGCTCGCAGACTTGGTTGAAACATGTCATGGTATCCCAGTTACATAGATCGATGCTCATGCTAGATTGCCTGGTCCATGCTTAATAATTTACAGACTGCCGCCATATAGCTGGAATATTGCTGAGTGTGGCATTAAACAACAAACAAACAGACAGTGACCTGGAACCATTCCCTTTGTATCTAAGATGGCGGTGTGTGATCTCTGTCCCTTTTAAGCTTCATTTCATACAGAAAAACACTAAACATAGCTGGTCTGCCATGCCAGATACTAACATGAAAGAACCAGCATGTCCTTGACTTGTTTTGAGTTGTACATATTTGTTGCAGGTTTCACGGTGAACCAGCTTGGACGGTCTACCCTCTACGGGACAGGTGTGTACTAAAGTGCTGTACTTCACGGACAAGATGGTCACACCCTTCATGTGCACCATATACAAGAGGTGGGTGTGGTCATTGTAGTACTGGAGTCTGTTGGCTGTAGCTACGGTATTGGGACCAGGCATTTGATTTTTCCGTCTAAAGTCTTATTAATCTCCATGTAAAAATAAAAATATCTATTGTTTATGTGTTTTTTTTACCCTAACGTAATGTGTAAAATCTGGACTCATCTACTTTCCGATCCCAGATCCCCAGCTAAATTTCAGTCTTTTTCAGTTGGGTCAAATCACATGCCTGTGGGACAGCCTAGGAATAGAATATCATGCCACAATAATATATGTCATCCAAAATTTTCAAAGATAAGGGACATGTTATATTTCTTATCAAACAAATTAAGTTGAGATCAGATGGCTTTAGCAATGATGCTATATATGTAATGGCTGAAGGCCTACACGTTGTGAATAGGTGATGGTGATGATGATGATGATGATGATGATGATGATGATGATGATACACCATGTTGAATAGATGATGCTTAAGTGATTCACATTAATGTTTGATTGGATTTTGTACACTTTGTATTTCATTAAGTAAAGACAGAAGAGAATCTCATGAAATACAAGGGCTAGGTGTTGTCTGTTGGGCTCATATTCAAATGCCGGAGAGCGGAAGGTCGCGGGTTTCGTTCCCCGACCGCGTCGTACCAAAAGACGTTAAAATATGGTACTTGTTGGTCCCTGCCTGGCGCTCGGCATTAACGGGTACAACAAGGACTGGTCGGCTCGGAGTCAGTATAATGTGTCTGAGTGGGGTATTCATGCTTCACTGTGGCGTGGTATCTCAGTGGGCTAGCACTATAAAACAAGCTTCAGTCTGGGCTAGTACAAGCAGCCGCACATACACATACACACGCATGCACGTCGTCATATGAGCGAAATATTCTCAAGCACGACGTTAAACCCAGTTTCACCTCACCTCACCTCATATTCAAATGCAACTTTCAGACTGGGGGAGATAAATCTAAAGGACTTCAAGGAGCTATTTGAGAAGCCGAACCAGTTCCGGTACCACTTCAAGGCACTGGATCCAGAATATGGCACTGTCAAAGAGGAGGTAACCCATGCTTATTGCTCATAGTTTGAAAGTTAGACACAGCTCTACACCAGGAAGTAAAAGTTTATTGGAACTGATATTTGACTTGATGACTTAACGTTTAGCCTATGTTCTGTTTGATTCGCATTTTAGAAGTTGATCGATAACAGAAAAGTATAATACTTTATGGATAACAACTTCTTTATTTGTTATGATGCGACGTTTCGGTATAGCTTCTTATAGTTCTTACAGCACAGAACCGACTTATATACATGTGACAGGGATTAAGTAAGACAACATGTGATTAAAAGGGATTAACAACAACAACAATGGAATCGGTAATGATAGAATAACAATGGGAGGAAGCCAATGTTGATGAGGCGGAACAAGATATACATGCTCATAATGTTGATCACTGGATTGTCTGGTCGATGCTCATGATGTTGATCACTGGATTGTCTGGTCGATGCTCATGATGTTGATCACTGGATTGTCTGGTCGATGCTCATGATGTTGATCACTGGATTGTCTGGTCGATGCTCATGATGTTGATCACTGGATTGTGTGATCAATGCTCATGATGTTGATGACTGAATCGATCTGCCATATAGCTGGAATATTGCTGCATGTGGTGTTGAACAAGAAACAAATAGATACATCAGTGATAGGTTTGTGTGTCTGTTTCAGATCTCCAATGATGATACTATCATCCCTGGCTGGGAGGGGAAGATTGTTGCCTGGATTGAAGAGGAACAGAGTACGGCCTGCTGAGCACAGTCGTCAGGACAATAGTGTTTATTTCATATCGGAAGTTGCTGGGGACTGATTGCAGGAAGTAACTCTGACAAGTAGTGCTATGTGCTGTGTCGCCTCAGGAGATGAGTTGTCAAGAGGATAGTATTTATCAATTTTGTTGGATTTTCCTTGAGACTTTTTTAAGGAATGGAATATAAAACCCTACGACTTAACACAGACGTGATATTGGAAGACTGTCTCATATGTTGTTGAGATAATAGTATGCGTAAACAGAATTGAATTCTGGATGTTATTGGAGGATTTTATCGAAGGACAAGGGAGGATATTTTATCAGACTTACTTACAAGGGAGAGAACTCCTACTACGGCAGAATGTGATTGTTTTTCAAACAGAAGTAATAATATTTCCCCAAATGAAAAGATACAGACATGTAGAGAATATTCCAGTTAGAAGTTGTTGAGATTCAGACCAACAACCACTTCCTCTCACAAAAACTACCCAACATTCCTGTGACACATTCTGGAAAGATTGGATACTTCAGGACTACAACACACAGCATTCCAACTCATATGTTCCCTAAATCGAACACAACCTTAACCAAAGCAAAGACCATGTACGGAAATGGTCCCTGGTCAGACTCCGACACCAAAACCAGTTGTCCAGTTGTTTCTGATTGCTGCTGTTCATGTGGGTTACGTTTCTCTCGACGATATTCCTGCTTCATGATAGAGTCAGCCGAGGTAGGACCTGCCTGATGCTGTAGAACTCCGTGCAACATTTGGCAAAGGTTTCCAGCCAGGATTAGTCGTGGGATAAAGTGTCGGCTTACAAGTTGAGCTGACGCTGATTTCTGCTAAGCAAGCAGGCTTTTGTTCATGTGTTTATAGGAAGGTGCTTCAACAATGCTCTCTTTTCTTCAGTGTTTTAACAAGGCTTGGCCACTGCAGGAAGGTTTCTGTTAATGGTAGTGATATGACAATTATTTTAATGATTGCAATAGACCACGTGGAAAACTTAATGGAGTGGTTTCCCAAATGTTTTTTGCATGTTTCAAATGTTTGATGGTCGACAACTTAACTGAGTTTTGTACTTATGTAAAGAATCTGCTGGTAGTACTGATTCAGAAAATTGTGTAGGTTAAAGAGAGGTGTTATATAACGCTGGGTGGATGTGACGTGCGGATGAGGATATGCAGCTTAGTGCAGGTGTCAAACATTATGTTTAGCCATCTGTGATGAAAGGCTAGAGGTCAAACACTATGTCTAGCCTGTTGTCATGAAAGGGTAAGAGTGATACAATGTGTCGAACATTATGTCTAGCCAGTTGTCATGAAAGGATAAGAGTGATTCAATGTGTCAAACATTGTCGCTAGCCAGTTGTCATGAAAGGCAAGTTGCCACACAGTGTGTCAAACATTGTCTCTAGCCATCTGTCATGAAAGGCTAGAGGTCAAACACAGTGTCAAGCAAACTGTTTTGAAAGCCATGTGTCACACCAGTTGTAAAATGTTGTGTCAAGCAAGCCCTTTTGAAAGGTCTGGTGTCAAACTCATGGAAGGATAGGTGTCATGAATGGCAAACAATGTGTCAAACATTGTCAAACAATATGTCAAGCTAGATGATAATATTTTATTCAGATATTTCAGGACAGGTAAGAGTTATGAAATAGGACCCTTAAGGTATGTCACATGATGTGTCATTACAATTGTTATGCCGCTCCTTCCATGTGAGGTGTTACGACACAGGAGTGATGATACGGAAAGTATCACCCTTAGAGAGGAAACATAGTTATCATATGAATATTGTCATTGGTACATATGATGATATAAGGGAATTACTTCCATGAGAACACCCATGAATACCAGAAAGATTGCAGATTCAGCATTTAAACAATTATCATCCTCATTCCAGTGAGACGTAGAGACTTTTACCAACTGTGTATACCATCACACGAGACACCTGCAACCAGTACTGATTTTCTGAACCAGTTTTACCAGTAATACTGTTCAAGATTTTCGGAATTTTTATGACAGTGTTTCATTACAAACATTTGACACCCTGTGAATTTGGACTTATGCAGTCCTCAAATCATCGTCTCCTCTGGGGCCAGGCTGTGTCGTGATTGTCTGACATCAACCCTCCTACTGCCTCAGTTGCCAAATATCCATTGTTTGAGAATGTTTGTGTTGTCACCATCGCCCATCTGCACTGGTTTAGTCTGTATCCTGTAAGCAGCCATCAGTCGTCATGGAAACAAAGGGGCACCTGCTAAACCCTGTACCTGACCATTCACATTGTATCAAAACATGAACTAATCTAACATGACACAGATGATTTCTGTAAGGCATTGAGGCTAGTTCAGTTGATTTTCTTGCTGCACAGAACTAAATTTGACTTAAATTTTAAAAAAGTATAAAAAAAATGATTTAAATATTGATTTTTGTTAAAATTGTATTTTCATTTGCAAAGTGTATCTGTGAAACAAGATATGAAAGTGTTCTAGCCTTTCACAAAACCTTGCCTTTCATGTAGGCTGTGTTAAAAACATTATGTCATTGTCACTTCAGAAGTTCTCAGATATTAACAGTTGTCGTGTTTGCAAAATATGTGTAGAATCACTACTGTGTGGACGCCACATCTAGCCACACGAAGGCAAGCAAGTTACTATGTCCAGCTTTAAATTTCATTATCTTCAGAGGGGCCGTGGTGTAGCCAAGTGGTTAAAGCACTGGCTCATCATGCCGAAGACCCGGGTTTGACCCACATGTGTACATTGTGTGAATCCCATTTCTGGCAACCCCGCCGTGATATTGCTGGAATATTGCTAAAAGTGGCGTAAAATCATACTCACACACTCGTTATCTTCCGAACCATTAACCATTACATTGCGACATTTGAGCATTTGAGGGTGATGTTGGTGTTCCCCAGTGTCCTTGCCTAATGTCTTGTTCCACAAAGCGCTGTGACTATCGTAGGTCTATGTATGAGAGTTACGATCACCTTTCGATCGCTCTGTGGAACCGGAATCAGGCCCTGAGTGGTTGAATGTCTGTGTCGTGTCGGAGTGTCAAGACACAACTCTATAAGTGCAATAATCGCAGATGTTAACTGATATTTTGAAGGCATATTCAAATGAAATTGATTTTTGTCGAGTTACCCATCTTATTTCATTTTGTAATTTCGTCAGTTTTCTCCATAATGAATATGGAGGATTCTGTTCATATGCATTCATATGTATGAGAAATTTGAACCATTTTCTTTTGTATTTTTGTCAGTTTTCTCCTTGACATATGGAAGATAATGGCTCGTTAGAATTCAAAATCTTAGAAGGGAGATAACCCTTGTAAACATTCTATTTTGTATCTTCGTAATTCTGGAGAATTCAAATATATGAGAAGGGAGATAACTCTGGTCACCATTCCATGTTTCTTTGGAAACTGTTGACGGTTCATTTATTCTGCTTCTGTAATGCTGCATATGTATTCTTGTATGATATGAGAGACGTATTCTACAACTCGTGCTGATCAGATGATACTGTGAAACTGTTAACACTGCATCTGTTAGCTCTGCAATTGTTAGCTCTGCAATTGTTAACAACATGCAACTGTCAACACTGCTGTTGTTAACAATGTGCATCTGTCAACACTGCCATTATTAACAATGTGCAACTGCCATTATTAACAATGTGCAACTGTCAACACTGCCATTATTAACAATGTGCAACTGTCAACACTGCCATTATTAACAATGTGCAACTGCCATTATTAACAATGTGCAACTGCCATTATTAACAATGTGCAACTGTCAACACTGTCATTATTAACAATGTGCAACTGTCATCACTGCCGTTGTTAACAATGTGCAACTGCCATTATTAACAATGTGCAACTGTCAACACTGTCATTATTAACAATGTGCAACTGTCATCACTGCCGTTGTTAACAATGTGCAACTGTCAACAATGCAGTTATTGTCAACTCTGCAGTTGCTGACATTGTGCAACTGCTACTGACATTGTGCATCTTTTAACTCTTCATCTGTTGACGTGAAACGGTCAAATTCTTATCTCAATCACAGTCATCACAAAGTACCTGTTTCACAAAGATATCTCTGAATTTTATGTAACACTTTGGGCTCTTGTGTCAACATTTATTCAACATTCACAAGAAATTAATCCTCACAAGGGAATTCCAGTCATCTATCTTTATGGCGTGTCCGATGTTTCCCTGTGATTGTTTTGTTGAATGGAGCTAAGGTCATGATTCATATGTATTTTACAAGAAACATGATTATTGATATTCCTCACTGTATCAGTATCGGACACTAATATACCATGTGTTTGTGCCTTCATAGTTCATGACAAGCTCTTAGCCCTCACTGCAGTGGTGTGTGTGTGCCACGATCACAACACACACACACTTCTGTCCTTGAAAGGGTTAAGTTCCACTACGTGTTGTCACTGTGGTAGATATCAGTATTAGGATGTTGATAGTTTGTGCAAGTCTGTAAGGAGTTACCTCCCTTGGGCTACTGGCAATTTTGAATATATGCTCAGTGAGTGTACCAATGTATAGCAGTGTCTAGTAGCTTTTTCACTTGACATTTGTACTTCGTTTTTGAAATGCGGTGTTTCGTGTCTTTCAACTGCAGAGATATTGATGTCAATGCTTTTGCCACAGTTTTGTCGCCAAGCTTCAGCAGAAGTCAAACCACCCACCAGTCAATGCTATCATCCCACTTCCATCAACATGAGCTTCACAGGTGCATCACAGGTGCATCACAGGTGCATTACATCAACAGGCAACAAAGTCAACAATCTGGAATTTTGATCATGTAATTTTGACTTGCTTTTAGGAGTAACTGGTAACCAACAGAATATCAGAATCATCATAATAATAACTAAATCGACATTTTTCTGTTAATTTGTGAGTTAATGCTAGAAATATTTAAACTTAATCTACTAGTCATCGAACAATGAGTCAGGCAGCGTGATCTAGTTGTCCGAGCTCTACACTTCATAATCATGGTGGGGCGGTGGGGTAGCCTAATGGTTAAAGCGTTGGCTCGTCACGCCGAAGACCCGGGTTCGAATCCCCACATGGGCACAATGTGTGAAGCCCATTTCTGGTGTCCCACGCCGTGATGTTGCTGGAATATTGCTAAAAGCGGCGTAAAACCATACTCAGTCAGTCAGTCAGTCATAATCTTGGTTCAGACTCACTACTGAGTTCATTATGCCTGTTGAAATTTTGTGTGTTAAGGTAACTTTCCTTTAAGTATAAAAGAAACAAAATCAGACCTTTATTGTTGGAATTTGGGTGGAGGAAAACAAATGTTACTGTTTGAACATTAAAATTCATGACACTGTTGAGATCTCAGCAGGGCTATCAGCTAAAAATAGATTTACCAGTGTTGATTGAGAAGTGAACGTAAGATTTTCGTAGTGTAAAGACAGTGACAGCTATTTGAGAATAGCATCACTGCAATATGACAATCAGCACGTTTTCGTTCTGGCAAGGTAGCCTTGCTACAAGCATGGGAAGCTGCACATGACGGAGCAAGTGACGAGGATGGGTTGGTGCTGCATTGCTTGAATATACTTCAGGGTCTTAACAGTTTCCGCCATTCCTCCTGGATGATATTAGTATGTCTGATCTCACCCTGCAGGGAGGTGTGGTATAATGCTTGTATACAATCTTCATGGTATATATATATCTGAAATGAGCCAGCTATTTTCTAACAGTGTAATAATTCATATCCAGTGTTTTTAGTTACGGAATATCAATATATTGTCTTCATGTTCTATATGTAAATGAGCCAGCTGTTTTTATATCAATGTATGAATTCCTGAATTGCACTGGTTCTCTGTGAGTACTGTTTTACCATTCCAAGAGGATACTTCATAAACGGGTATCTCTGCTGACTCTTGTCAAATCTCAATCCTACATATGTTATCACAGAGATTGACAACAGCAGACTGGAAGTTTACTGCACTGTAATACATGATACGTATAATTTCAGAATTTTCCTGTCAGTCGAAATTTCTAAATCGGTCTAGTCGAATTCTCCAAATTCTTCTGCAGTTGTCCGTTTTTGTTACAGTCACAGAGGCAGTGATTTGAAGAATCGTTTCGCATCGAACATTCCGCCGTGAAGATTTTGTTATCTTACCATTATGTTGTTGAGTCTTATTACGTACGTGACTGTTTTGTCACATTAAGAGGTCATAGGTATGACCGGTGTTTATTGTGTCTCCGTCCCCAGCCGATCATTATCGGCCTTGTATATCATTTCTCACGTGCTTCATTTAATTTACATCAAGTTGCAAACTCAGCATATTTTGTTGTGCATCTTAGTCACTAGGGTTTTGTTCATCGCTATGGTTACCATCCATAGTCCAAATGTTTGTATGCAGATGAGTAGATTTTTATCTTTTACTTTTTTTGGTAGTTTTATAGATTTCATAATTTATTTGTAGATTCCTTTCTCAGATGAGAATTCTGACAATGTTTTAGTAGAAACTGTTGGCAGAAAGTGTCTTCTTCAAACAGATATATCTAGTCAAGGTGATATATTCCTTACAACTTTCTGTGAATCTGTTGAAATTTGGAGATTACCTTCATAAGAAGGGCTTAATGTGGGTAATAATGGCATATTGCAGTGAAGAGATGGGAGGCTGATCATAGGTAGAGAATAAGACTTCTAGTAGAATACAATGGGTTGAAAGTGGGGAACAGCCAGCTTAAGGTAGAGAATTAAGGCTTGTGCCCAGGGGGAATGCTTATGGTGGGGAATAAGGGTTTATAGGGGGAAAATGAGGTAGAGCTAGCAAATAAAGTGGAGAATAATGGCTTATGGTGGGGAATATAAAACACTTACGTAGTTGATAACAATAACTAAGTATGTGATATAGGGAATAAAGCCTTGTTATATGTTGATCATGCTCTCCTCAGTGCTGCTAGTGGGCGGTGGGGTAGCCTAGTGGTTAAAGCTTTGGCTCGTCACGCAGAAGACCCGGGTTCAAATCCCCACGTGTGAAGCCCATTTCTGGTGTTCCCCGCCGTGATGTTGCTGGAATATTGCTAAAAGCGGCGTAAAACCAAACTCAGTCAGTCAGTGCTGCTAGGAGTGTTCCCTTAAACTTAGGTGCAGTTTGCTTCCTTTTGTTAATTGGAAGGAAAATGTAACAAATTGATTTGATCTGGCTTATTTTTGTCAAAGAATAATATCATGTCTTACTCAAAGATCTTGTTTATTCAATGCCAAATTAAGGTTTCATGTTTTTCATAAAAGAATATTGTCTCCTTAATGGAAGGTGACCTAAACATTTCATGTTTTTGACAATCAGTTTAATATAAAATTACATTTCAAGTTTATTTAATTGTTGTCATATCATTTTCAGTTTTCATACAGATTGGTTCATTTTTGAAAGGTTCACTTAATGATTTCATGTTTTGTTATTCCCATATGTTAATGCTAGCGGTCACTGCCGAGATCAGCCCACCAGTGTCACGTCACTGCCTGTGTGCCCACCAGTTTATGTCTAAGTATGCTCTGTAAACACAATTAGCTGTTCGCTTGTGTACAAACTGCATATTTATGTCCATATATCCCATGTCTGTGTGTCTACAGTCTTCACTACGCATGAAGCATTATGTGATTCTCTGCCGCTTCAGTCGGCCGTGGCAAAATGTCAAAATAAATACAAATTGCAAAGTATGGCATGTGTTTGGTTTATGTTGCTGTCGGGGTGCCAGATGATATATATTGGCAACTCTTATCAGACTCGGGGTTTACATGTTTCTTGGAGGTTGGGTTGGATTTTAAGTCATGTTCAAGATTATTGCACTAATGGAAAACGTGACTGTTTCATATAAAAGTGAAGGCGGCCTTGTGTTCAAAGGGAAAGCGCGAGCGTGTTACGCCTAAGACCTGGTTTTGATTCCGAACATGGGTTCAATGTGTGAACCCCATTTCTGGGATATAGCTAAAAGCGGCATGAAACCCAACTCACTCATACCATAACATTCACACCATTTTATATAACATGTCAATGAATTGTTAAAAATGTATTGACAAAACACGTGACAGAGAAGGGGGAACGAGAGTGATTTGTCTTGTGCATATGGCGGAGGACTGTTTCAAATCTAGACCAGACAATCCAGTGATGAACATATGCAACTGGAATAGGACATGAGTCAAGCAAGCCTGACCACCCGATCCTGTTACGACAAGCATGGGTTTCTGAAGACCAGTTCGGTATCTGTTGTGACCACCATTATTGTTGATAAAGTCAAGCAGCAAGGAAAACACCAGATGATTGAGTTTTGTGTTACGACGCTCTTAGCAATATTCCAGCAATATCACGGCGGGGGACACCAGAAATGGGCTTCACACATTGTGGGGATTCGAACCCGGGTCTTCGGCGTGACGAGCAAACGCTTTAACCACTAGGCTACCCCACCGCCCCTCTAGATGATTGGCCCGCCGTGATATTGCTGGAATATTGCTAAAAGCGGCCTAAAACTCAGTCAGTCTAGATGATTGAAAACAGCCTTGGGGATGTAGCTTCAAATGTCAACCAAAGGAGCTAGCATTGGCAGCTGGCTCTGGTCCTGTTGTGGGTATCGATCTGTTGAGAGAAACAGATGGCCATGGCAGAAGAGCCTTGTAATGTTGCTTGGCAAAGCCTGATGTAATACACTGTGGCAACCCTTTTGACTAAAATACCTGGGATCCAAAACATTTTGAGTGAGTGATTTATGCCGTACTCAGCTATATTCCAGCTATACAACAGCGGTCTGTAAGTAATCAAGCCTGGACCAGACAATCCAGTGATCAACATCATGAGCATCGTTCTACGCAATTGGGATACAATGACAATGTCAACCAAGTCAGCGAGCCTGACCACCCGATCCTGTTAGTCACCTCTTACGACAAGCATGGGTTACTGAAAATTCTAACCCAGATCTTCACGGGTCCAAAATATTTTGAGGGCTGCAGATGTCAAATAACACATCCTGGCATATCCCATACATGTCACAAAATGCACATAGTTGGAATACAAATTCACTCAAAACATTCACATTAACTCCAAAGAAGAGACGACAGATATAAGTTTGTGAAGTATTTATTGGCCATAAACTTATGTACAAAACTTTGACTATAAAAGATGAACTGAGGATGAAGCTTGTACAAATGAAGGCAATGGGCAATACAAAATACTGGTGAGGAAGGGCATCACACCTAACAAGCACCTGCTGGAGCCCCAACAAACAGCCAGGACAAGCACCTGCTGGAGCCCCAACAAACTGCCAGGACAAGCACCTGCTGGAGGGCCTGGACCCATGGTAAACACTCCTAGCCTACAGTCATTCACTAATGACAGGAATGGGAGGTGGGGACTGAACATCTCACAAGCTGAAATCAAACTTTCATTAAATTGTACTGCTACTTTACCCCAGGCAAATCCAAACTTTTCAGAATTCACCCCACTTTCCAATGTGCCATTGTGAATGTACCTAGATGAGGACAGGCATGCTGATGTACCAGGGCAAGCTCCACCAGGGTGCGTCTTAATACAGTTGAATGTAAGGTGAAATAACTCAACCAAACATGGAGTGTCTCCAAAACCTTTAAATTAAGTTACATCTTGTAAACAGAGATTCTTCCTATAAATTTTAACATGTTCATCTAAAAATGTGAAAATACTGAAACAAATTCTAGGTCTAGACTACCTTTACATCGTTCAAAAGTTTTCGACACAGATCTTTCACTTTCCTATTTCCCTTAGTATTTCAACCTTCCCTGCATGGCAAATTATTCTGTAAGCAGATGGGCTTATTCACAGACACTCAACATTCAGGACAGCAGTACTGTTAGCTGTAAAGGCAAAATAAATTATCAGTGTAGAAAATAGTTGCAAAATTGTACAAAATATCATAAATAAAAGTTGATATGACTATGCTTCAGCCACTGTATTCAACCTAATTAGTACCTGGCCCTCGTCAGGTTCAGCCCCAGCTGTTCTCAATCCAGAAAGCTAAGGTGACAGAAATTAAGGTTGGCATTAGAATCAGTAAACATTCGTGTAAACTTGTGAGTGAGTGAGTTTAGTTTTACGCCATTTTTACCAATATTCCAGCAATATCACAGCGAGGTACTTCACACATTGTACACACGTGGGAAAAAGAACCCAGGTTTTTGGCGTAACGCGCGGAAAATTTAACCACTATGTTAACCCACTGCCACGCCCCCTATATTTTGCAGTATTTCAGGAGGATCAGTAATAGAAATAATAAACAGGCCCTTGATAAACACTGTGCATACAACTGATTCAGTTACATACGGACATTCTTGAAATTACCATAAACCAACCATTTCCTAGTAACTGGAGCCAGAGACTAACTGGTTGAACACGGTACTACTATCTGAACAACTACTCTAATTAGAATATAAACAGTCTTGCTACTACACTGTACAACAGCATGTTCGCATATTCATGGCATTTACAAACTCAGCCAATCAGAAGCTGTACGATTCAAGTTTCAATCATTACACAATGATGTAAATGAAACAGCACTATTTCAAATGTTTATACTGTTGATTTCTGATTGGTTGAAACATCCCTGTTGAGCTCTGATTGGTTGAACATTGGTACACATGAAGACAGAGACAATCAGCCAATACAATCATTCACAGGTGGTCAAATTATTTGATTGCTGTACAACAAATTAATATCATCTCAATACACTGGATAAAAATACATCAGAAGAAATAAAGGTTTTGATTTTTTAATAGAAAAAGACAAGTCACCTTTTATTAAGTAAATTAACATATTTTCAAACATCTTACTAAATAATAAATTCAATTTATTTAGGTTTTAAGAATATTTGCTGCTAAAATAAAATATGTTCAAGCATAAATATTACCATGGAACAATTTATCATAAGTACTTGTAGACATTTATACGGATATAACCTGACAAGCTAATTAGGAAGTAATTTCTTACCAACCATCACGGGACAATGATACTTTGCTTGTGTGAATCACATTTAATTTAATCTTATTCCATATGAATACTGGTAACAATACTAATGGCAGTAACCATGGTAATTTGTCACCCACAGATTTGATTTATGCCTGATCAGATTTACGCACATCCACTAAACACTGACAGAATTCTTTTTCGTTTTTTTTCTTCGAAGACAATCACCCATTATCGTCACATGATTGAGATGAGACTAAGAAACTGATTTCTAAAAATGAATTTGTGCAACATTCATTCAACCTTCCTGATTCTTTGGTTAATGTTTAAAAATTGGTCCATGAAAGATGGCCGACGACGTTGGCTGTACACACAGATTTATCCTGAGATAAGTCAAGGCAAAATGTGACAATGTAATCAAAGGGAGATAACTGTCTCTAAGATGGACTATGAGTGGAAGGTGGACACTGTAGCATAGCTGCAACAGAAATTTGACTTCACAAATTGCATCCATATGAGCCATCGAAAAAATGTGGCGATGTAATCAAAGGGTGATAACTCTGTCCCTACTGTTGATTGACTGAGTGGAAGGTGCATGCTTTTCAGGTCTGACCGAATTAGAACTTCACAAATTGCATTCATACAAGCCATCGAACATCTAACTAAAATTCATCGAGTCAAAGTATCAATGAAATGGGTGTTGTTTTAGGAGTCTATGTTTATATCACTTTCAATTCATTCACAGTGCAGTGGACAATATTACACATGAAGAAAGTTTGCTAATTCGAGCTTTGCAAAAAGTGCATATCTGTTCATAATTGACATTTACTTGTTTTCTGAAGTATTTGAAATGTCTCCATGGCAACAGGAGTATATGGCACAAGTGGTGCTACTCACTATCACTTCAGACAAACGCACAACATTTGTACACCACGCAACTGGCACAACGCAGCTCGGGAACACTAGTCTTGGAAGTATAGAACTGAGAAATACGTATCCTTCAAAAATACAACCTGCCAAAATCGACCATATATGAAATTATGTAAACTTTTTACATTTTAAACACCAACTCAACCATAAACCTGGATAGTCTTAGAATTCATAGATTCATGGATATTTAGGTGTAGGTGTTTAGTTTTAATTCTGTATCTGTGAGATTTCAGATTCTCTAAACAAAATGGAACATGTTTCAAGTTAGAATGAGATTCCAAGTTTGTACATTGTTGACACTGAGATTTCTCAACCAGTATCAGTGGAGTCTTGCACTGAAAGGAATAAACACCTGTGTAGGAACCTATGGAAGAAACACCAACACATATTGTTGTATTCTGTCAAACAATGCCATGCAATATGACACGTATCAACATACAAGCTGATGCAGTACGAGACAACCTCCACGTTTCATTATACAAAAAACAACATATACTCAAGAAAAGTCAACATATTTCTCCTACCAAATTATTAATCTGAAATAAGAAAGAAATACATGAACTTATATGAGGAGAGAAGAATTCACCGAAAGTATGAAAATATCTGTGTATGAGATATTGGTGAATATCCCCTGTTTCCCACTGTACAGACAGATTCTACAGCAGCACATGCAACAGTCACTATCTGCGCAACACTCACTCATACTCTGGCCAAAAATACAAGATACAAACAATATAGGTGTTTCCAGGAACCAAATGACCCTTATCTTCAGCCCCGAACCCAAAACCTTTCCCTGTTTTCTCTACGGAAGAGTTTATATGGATGTCAACTTCTTTACTATGAGGAACACAATGTTTTGGAGTATATCCTTTCTCAAAAACGTTGCGTTCCTTATAAAGAACTTGACATCCATAACAACTCTCTTCCTGAAGTGTATCACTTCTAAATGTCATTCGAAGACTTGTTTTCTCTAGTTTATAAAACACCCCACTGTCCACATTTTATGACAAATATAATTAGTTCAATAACAAGATGAAGACGAACAATTTTTATAGATAGACAACTTCTTTAATGCAACAGATGCCACGTTTGGGTGTAGATGTTAATACTGACTGACTGAGTTTGGCTTTACGCCGCTTTTAGCAATATTTCAGCAACATCACGGCAGGGGACACCAGAAATGGGCTTCACACGTTGTACCCATTTGGGGATTCGAACCCCGGGTTTTCGGCTTGACGAGCCAACGCTTCAACCACTAGACTACCCCACCGCCCCGACTGTTAATAATCCAGTGATGATGGCATTAGCATTTACACTGAAATGTCGCATCTCTTGCAATAAAGAAGTTGTCTATCCATAAAACTTGTTCTGTTTCATCATTCAAGCTTCTTAATGACATTAAAGAAGCAATAGATGAATCTTTAAAAAGTTTACAAAATGGTTAAAGTTAAAAAAAACAGCTGATATATCGCCCTCCTATATTGATCGACTGGATCAGGAAACACATATATTGTTTTTCGGCCTTACGCACACAGGCTCAACACCCTCAACAGTTCATGGACAATGAGTTAGTGAACTTGACAAAACCACAAGTTGTACCTGCTCAGGGGAGACAATCACAATCTGTCCAGCAAAACATCAAGCTACTCATGTTGTTTCAGAATCTAAAGTGTTATACCACTTCCGATTGTGATTCACAATGAAAGGTGCATATTGGTCACCTGACTATGTCCTGGTCACGGTGTCACATGACTTGAGTGTCTGGGTCACATGATCCGTGTACTGAGGTCACATGATCCATGTGCTGAGATCACCTGAAGTTTGACCAATCATGCTGTGACTTTGTTCAAATACCAACACAAACGCCATTGGTCAATCCACAATGGCCACATGACAACCACACAACCAATGATCAGTCACATAACATAATGCAAGGTCACATGACAATGCTGCCAGCCAATGAGAGATCACAACACTTCACTATACAGATGTTTCGGAGTTTAACCGCAGCACAAACTTGTTGCTTTTGGGGTCGATGACCTCTTCCGTGAGACTGAAATGTGGGATCTTGCGGACCGAACACAACAACGACACGTCCCCGCTCCGCAGCTGAAACAACGACCCATGCTCCACTTCCCTCGTGACCAGCTGATCACACACAAGCACCCAACGTTCCGTGGCTTTGTAAGATTTTTCGTTCATGATGACGACCCCCTGTGTGAGGTACCTCTCGATGAAGGAACGGGGACTCATGTCGTGAGCGATGCACGTGGCAAGATGGTTGAGCACAGACTCCATGGTGTAGCGCGGCTGTTGACGGGTGACGCGCAGGAACTTCTGTAGGGCTCGGGCCATGGATGGGAACACGGCCTGGGCGGCTTCCTGTGGGTCCATCGGGATCGCAGGACCTGCAGGAACAACAACAACCTTAGTTTGAGAGACGGAGTAAAATGACAGATTAATTTATGTAAACTTGAAGTGTGGTGGTCTTGGGGCTGGAGGTCCTGTGATGACAGTATTAGTGAGTTTAGTTTTACGTCGCTTGTAACAATACTCCAACAATATCATGGCGGGGGACACCAAAATGGGCTTCACACTTTGTAACCATGTGGGGTATCGAACCCAGGTCTTTGGTGTGTTGAGCCAGCATTTTAACCACTAGGCTACCCCATCGCCCCCTTGTGGTGATAAAACAAGGTTATTTCTAGAGGAGGGGTTAAATGACATGTTAAAATTTGATAGCCTACAGTGTTGGAGGTTTTTGACATGATGTTGTTTGCTGTTTATGTCCCCTTCCGAGTTAATCCAGTTATATGATGGTTGTTGGTAAATAATGACTGGCTATACAATACACTGACTGACCAGTTGGTATACGATAACGTGCATGGACCAAGCCAGTGAGTCTCACCATAATGTAAACATTATATTCTAGAATTCTCTATTAGGCCAGACCAATTTATTTCTTGTTTTACGGATCCGCCTGTCATATTTTTTCAAGAATAAGAAAAAAAATAAAAGTTAATTTTCCCAGCTCAAAAAATAAAATCCCAATGTTTTATTGGTCAAATAGGTCAATTTACAAGAAACGTTTTTTTAGATTGTTTTTTGCCCCATATACACTTCATAAATTGCCAAAAGTAATATACTTTTAGTATTTATTTATTTATTATTTTTTCCCCCTCCTGCCTTAAGGTTTTCTGAGGACAAAATCCGTAAAACAAGAAATAAAATTGGTCTGGCCTTATTATTCTAACACAATTTGAAAATATTTCACATAAAAAAATACCAGAACACTTCCTTCACATGCTGAGGTGTTTCTGGTATCTGAGGTACTGTAATATTACGAACAGTCCTTTGATTAGAAGGATCTTTGTTTCAGCACCTATCTGATTTAACAGCAGAAAAAAGGATATTACTGTTAAAACAGCATGTGCACCAAGACAATACAAACGAGATTATTTGCAGAAGAATTCTAAGAAATATTTACAGAAATGTTCCTGCTCTGAATTTCAAAGGGAGATAACTGTTTAGCACTCAGCAATGGGAGTATTTCACTGATAGATTAGATTATCTCACAGCTAATCTTATTCTACAGAGAACTAAGTTTGTAAGGCCCTCACTAGCTGCTAAGTGCTACACTGAGTCCCTAAGCTGATAGAACCATCCATCAAAACCACACAACCAAATGGACACTGAGGAATGTTAATTTTACCCTGTCTTGTCATGTCCGCTAATGCAGTGGAGTTGACAGAATAATGGCCGGTCTTCGCGTCCCGGCCACATCAGAATCATAATCTGTTTTTGAACTTACATCCATGGTTATTTCTTTATTTCTGACACGTGTCAATGACAGAGACACCCACTGACATGACTGACAGATTTGTCACTGTTATCTAATGTATAGTGTCTTCCCTCATTCCCCACTGGACGTGTTCCTCATGACGTGAGACAGAGCGTTGCTCAAATCACTCTGGTTTTACAGCAACAATTTTGTTAAAATATTCATGGTTTAAAAACAAAGGATCAGGTATACTGGAACATCAGGCACAAACTAGGGGTTAAACGTTATACTGTGGTATGTAGTATTAATATTGCAGTATTTTGCTTTCGGTTCGACATACCGTAATGCAATAAAAACATTCAGCATTTCGGTTTTCGTACCATTCTTTTATCTAGTCATAAAATGACTGTTTTGTTCATTCACAATAACAAAGATTGTGGCTATATTTTTACATGTCATTAAACAATGTAAGGTTTGCTCTTGTAAATGTTTTGCATTAATATGATCATATCTCATACGAACAGAAGGCCTTGTACCACAATACGTACTGCAATGTTTCACCCCCAGCATAAACATACAATAGTTATACTGACAGGAGAGGTCTTTAACTTTATAGTCTGTTTGCAGTGAAAATGCACCGATGAATTTCACTTTAAACAAAAAAAGTAAATCAAATAAAGTGAAATTAAGATTGCAAATCCTCATAATTTCACTTTGCCAATTGAACATTTAAATCTCAGAATTTTATTCAACTTAGGATAAAAGTTGTTTCACAAACGATCATAGTTTCAAATCGCTATTATTGGTTTGTTTTACAAGGGGGTATGCGCAGTAGTTGGAACAGTCAAACAAATGCATGTGTGGTGCATGATGAGTGTTAATTTAGACTACCGTAGAAGCCAACCCTTCTTGTTCTCAGGGTTTCATTTAATGTGCATTGACAAAAACGCTATTTTCAGTGACTGTTTACTCATTACGTCCTCCATGTGTATCACTCGGAAGCTATCGAGAGGAAAATAGCATTCAAAATCTTTCACGTTTTTTAGGTAAAGGTTCAAACGATATGTGTGAATGTTAACTTTCGCGATTTGGTAAGCTGTGTTCTGATTGGTCAGTCCAAAAGGTTAGCTGACGCGACCTTCTACTAGGGTTTGTTAGACTCAGTATAGCAGTGGAACGAATAATACTGAGCCTAAGTTTACTTAGACTGTTTCTAACTAAGAAAAGTGGAATTCCAATATAATATTACATTTGACCACTTTCTAAAAGGCACTGTGTGTTCATATCTTCGGCCATGGAAGCCATGCCAACATACACTTGTCAGATGGGTACAAAAAATATGTGATCTAGACTACGAGTTGTCAAACTTCTGTTTTTGTGGAAGCAGCGGTGGCTGAGCGGGTTAGATGGCTGACTTTATGTGTGCTGGTGATTAGGTGCCTGACATGACACCATAGCAAAGAGTCTTGACAATAGAATGTTTCTAAAAAGTGTCTTGAAATCAACAATAAAGAATTAACTTTCACATTTTCCTCAAGTATCTTTTTCCACCTACCCTGCTCATCTTGCATCCTCTTGATGTGTGTGAATGCTTCCTCTGCCGCGACCAGCAACCTGGCTCTACGTTTCCGCACCCTCCTCTCGTACTCCTGCTCCTCGTAGAACCGATCATTATGACTAGCGTCCCTTCGCCTGGCCGCGGCGGCAAACACAGCACGTGATCGGCCCTGCTGGTTGGACTGGTTGGCCCCTCCGTCCACATCGTACACTTTGAACCCTGTAAGTTTGGCGGGGCGACGGGTGGCGTTCTCTAAGTATGGGTTGTAAGACTGGAAGTCCTTCAAATACTGCTCCAACACCCAGACAGCTGCTCTCTGGATGCTGAGCACGCCCATCGTATACGAGTGACTCTCCCCATCCGGCGACCGCGTCACGCTAATGACATACTGAGGTTGAATCTGTCTCACTTCCAACAAAATGATGGCGAGATAGTGAATGAAAAGAAGTCCGTCGACTAGCGACACCGAGAACTGAACTATAGAGTGATACTTCTGCTCTCGTTCCTTGAATATCCGAACACCATAGAACAGCCAGAATGCAAATGTCAACACAAATACAAGGAAAAGCACAACTGCTCGGAAAATAAAAACTCTCGGCATCGTGGCTTTAGGTTGACGGAAAAACAGCGCAAATGTTCCTACAAATAGTATGATGAGTTTAAAAGCAAAACTAATGAGCAGACCTTCGCACTCTGGCTTACACATCATGTCGTCCCCCGGTGCTGTTACGAGTGTGCCATCTGTTCGCACATTCCAGTCCACGATACCCAGTTTGGGTAGGACCACCATCGCAATAGGCGAAAAGAATCCAAATATACTGAGCACAGCCGCTAAAGCTGACCCCACATATCGTGTACAGTCAAACCCTACATTGTCCTCGAATTCTTTTGAGAATTTATGCATGTCCTCCATCGAGAAGCCGGTCTCGCTGGTGTTGCCTGTAATGGCGGTGGTGTTATCGCCCCAGTTGTCATCCTGAGGGATCACTTGGACTTCTATACGTTCCTCCTCGTGACAATCGTCAGACATGTGACCTGGCGTCTTGATCGTGACTGAGCGGTCGTCACGGTCCCCTCGGTCACGGCTCCGACCTCTGTGACTGGATGGTCGCCCACTCTGTTGACGGTGACGGTGATGGTGGCTGCCATGGCTACGGTGGGACCGCTCGGATCTGTCACTGCGACCAGAACGTACTGATTCTGCTCCGTCCATCTTAGATACCGCTTACTTGACAACTGCTAATAGGGTGACTGAAAATAAAATCAGCGAATTAGCATTCATTGTACATCTTCAGGTATTATCAATGTGAATAAACAAACAAAAACTGAACACACACTGTCAAGGAAGATCACAAAAATATTGATAACAATTTTGCATATATATACATATTGAATATGTACTCAATATTGTATAGATGTGTATATGTACTCAACTTTTTATAAACGGAAAGTATATAGACTCAGAGCTCCCTTTGTCAAGAGTTGATCAAAAAGTCCAAAACGCACTTTTCTTAAATGTTTCTTTGTAACCTGGTTTCAATACTATTCACAGACTTTCTATACTGCATTCATATAAACGCTGAAATGTATTAACCTAATTTCATGGGTTCAGAGACCTCATTTTTGGAGAATGACCCGAGTGAACATCGACAATTATATGTGATCCAATTTGCCAACACAATACCCAATATGGCTCCTGGGAGCGGCCATATTAACTCTTGGGTATACTGTGCCAACACAGCTAAAAATACATTCCCTGTTCATAAGCTGCCATTACGAAAGCATGAAAACATCTGAATCTCTCCAACTTAATGGCTTTACAAGCCAACCACTAATGACAGTATGTCAGAGTTGTTTCCCTTCATTAACTCTCCTGGCTGGGAGGACAAAAAGTAATAGGGATTAAACATTACATGGTATATGCCTTTAACATGGAGGCCCTGTCATGTCATTTCATCTTAAATCTGTCTGCTTGATAAATGAGTACAGTCATACGTCATTATTAGCAAACTTCCAGCTATAGCATTGATATGTTGGCCCATAGTTGGCCCATAATCACCGGTTTGGTTGGCCCATAGTTGTCAAACTGACGATGGGCCCACTTGGATATGCTCATCAGGTCCACGTTGGCCCATCATGTTGGCTAATTGTTGGGCCAACAAATGAAAATTCACACTAAACCATGGCCCATAATTGGCCCAACGTAGTGATTTTGTTGGCCTTATGTTGGCACCACCGTGTTTCAACATTTAGCTCTTTCTTGACCTTTGTACTAAACCATGGCCCATACTTGGCCCAACATTGTGATTTAGTTGGCCTTATGTTGGCACAACTGTATTTCAACATTTAGCTCTTTCCTGACCTCTGCAATCAGAAACATATATAAACAACAAAACAAGTTAATCAAGTGAACTATTTAATTCTTTTTTTATTATTGTTATTTGAACAATATTGTATTTCTTGAAAATATTCTTGTCTTAGGTCTTTCGGCTGTCGCCGCTGACGGGTTTTTTCGAACTGCTCCTAAAACACAAAAAAAATTTCATGAAACTGTCAGATATCATAATTTTAGACATGAGATCTATCGTAAAAGGAAATAGTATTTGACGTTATGTTTCATTTGAAAATGAAACATACAACTTGATGATTGATACCTTCTTGTTGATTGCACAGAGTGACGTTCTGATGTAGATTCTTACACCGTTATCAAGCTAAAAGTGACTACAACAAAATTATGAGAAGTATTATGTGTAGTATGTTTTGACAACCAGCAGATTAACATTAACAGTTTGGGTTTGTTGTGGAGGGTGGTGGAGGTGGTCCTCTTGACTATAGTCCATTTGATTTCATTTGAGACCGATGAATTGCTCACTAACACAAAATCTAATAATTGCAACAAAACCAATTGTGCACAGTCACATAAAAACAACAGACCAACTCTGATGATTTGTCTCATAATTTTGGACACCCGGTCATTATTTTGTTGTCACTTTTCGCTATTTCTTATGAGGGAGGACCACTTGCAGATAGAACAGCCAGGTAATCAAGCTTGTGTTGTGAAATTTCAGTTGCACACGTGCAACATGCTCACCTGGGCCCCGTTTCACAAAACTCTCGTAGTGCTACGACTATCATAAGTCTACAGTTACGGTATAGGAGGTACGAATGCTACGAGAAAAGTTACGAGATCTTAGGCTTATGAGAGCTTTGTGAAACGGGCCCCTTCGGTCAGAGTTGGTCTGTCGTTTTCATGTGACTGCAAAATTTGGTTTTGTTGCAATTATTAGATTTTGTGTTAGTGAGCAATTCATTGGTCTCAAATGAAATCAAACGGACTTTGAGTTGGTGGGTTGAGGCTCGTGAAGACATGTTGTAGGTGATTCAGCTCATGTTCTAGGTCATGGCTGCTGGAGCAAATGTTCTTAGCGTGCTTGATCAGACTTAGTTTTAGGAGGGTGGTTGGGCAAATTCGAAATCTTATCCACCAAGAATCAGGACTTCACAAAAAGAAAACTTTTGAGGTCATCCCCCAACCCCCCTGTTTATTGGTTGTAGATCTATCACTAGATCCATTTGTTGTTCTAAGTCCCTAACTGGCCGCTCCCAATTATGTATATTGGACAAAACATACAATGTACATGTACAGAACTGTAACCTAAATTCGTGGATAACCTTGATTCTTGGATCGCAGAAATTATCATGCTATCTCGTAAATTAAGTCTCAACTGACGTCACGAAGCGGTACTTTTGAGGTACATACAATGCTATGTCTCGCTGACGAGAAAGTTACATTACACGCAAGTACACTAAATATAATTGTCCAGCACTGAGATAAATAGCCCCAGATCACTAATGCCACCATTACCAAATTTTATTTTTACAAAATGTCAAGTAAAAAAGATACCGTTAGCTCCAACCTTCTCACTTCTTGTTGTCTGCTTTCCTTGGTGTCAATACCTACTGCAGTGGGATGTCGTACATTGTGGTACAAATTGACCGACTAAGTAATCCACGAACAAGGTGACGTCACATTTTATGGGCACGCGAATTAGTGATGATTGAAACTGGCTTCGGTAAACAAATGTTTCATTCACGAGTGGAATATTAGGCATTTTTAATTTGCTGAATCAATGAATAAAATAAGCAGTGCGTATACAAAATGAAATCATGCATTTAAGATATGAATTTCGCCGCACTTCCCTTGTATCCATGAATCAAGGTTACGCGAGTGTATATACTTCTCATCATTTGGTTGTAGTGACTTTTAGCTTGATAACAGTGTAAGAATCTACATCGAAACGTCGATCTATACAATTTAAAAAGGTGGCATCCATGAAGTTATATGTTTCAATTTTGACTCACCAACTTCTAGAATGCCGTTCAAACAATGGCTTATTTGGATATGACGTGTAGCTACTATAACTGTGACACATATATCTGATATGATGATGTTTAGCAATTATTGGTTGTAAAGATGAATAATAGAGAGAGTTGTATATATGTAAACAGGAGTGTAACTGACAAACACATAATGATAATAAAGTAAACACAATAAATTTAAATAATCGAAAAAGAAATGAAGCTTATCAAAGTGGTTAAAACTGGCTACCTAAAGAAAAGAGTCAATTAAATCTTTTATGTACTCAATCAATTGCCTTTCAATGTGTCAGTTTATTTAACCTAAATGATGATTTAAACCAATTCTGACACAATATATTTGCAATTCAGTATCACAGAAATAACAATGGATATTTACCAGTTGGCCTCCAGAACTGTAATGTCGTCTGCTCTTTGAATATCAGGTAGAGCTATCAATGATGACAAGTGTGGTATTCAATTTGGAGAAAACAATGCTGTAAAATTCACTGCATCATAGTTGAAAGACAGGGAAATAGATTCTTTCATTTTGCCCGTGTAATTATCTCAACTTTCATCAAAATCTAAATACGAAAACACGGCTAAAAATGGCTGTGTGCTCACTCTTATATTCACAATGTTGGGCCAACGTTGAGCCAACTTTGTGAAATAGATGTAAGACCAGGGAAAATAGGCAGAGTTTTTCAAATGTTGGCCCACTGTTGGACCAATGTGTTCAAAGCCACCGTTACTTTTAAGTCATTAAGGTAATGTTGGGCCAATGTTGTCAAACCGTTGGCCAACCAACCAACCATATACCAACATTGGCCCAACACACCATTGCTATCTGGGAATGTACCCACAAGGCCACCCCACCACATTATTACTATATTTCACTTCATTAAATTTTTGTTAACATAGTATAGCTAAACAAGCCGTATTTGTTCCCATACTTTAAAATATAATCCAATATTTTCATGTCTTCCTGTTCAGTCGCACAGTAACAAAATCAAAATCTCCAGGTTTATTTGTTATTGCTGCACTCAGCAATGGTCTGAGTTAAATGGCATCTGTAAGTAACGGAGACTCAGTCAATCCAGTGAGTGACATCAAGAGCATCAATTTATGCAATTTTGATACAATGACACATGTCAACTAAGTCTGCAAGCCTGTCGACTGAATCCCTTATTGTCTCTTATGATGTCTCTTATGACAAACATTTGTTGCTGAAAATCACTTCTAACCCGGATCTTCAGAAGTGAACATCCCCAGCAATCTCAAACAAATGTACTAACTCTCATCTGACCATTTTATTTTAATAACACTCGTGTGTGCTCAAAGCGGCACATTTTCACAGAAAAACATGTTTCTATAACTATTCCAAATTTGTTTTGAAATCACAAAGACCATTTAACTATTGCTCACAAAATGCACAAACACTATTGGACTCCTAACACAGTCGATCTCCGACTTCTGTATTGATGTACAGAACACTATCTGTCGCTGGGGAATCACCTCTCACACCCAGCTCTGCTAATTAGATCTACCATCTGATGCTCCACAAAGTGCCTTCCCATAATGCAATTTGTTGGAAGGAAGTACAGTCATGATCCTCCCAATCTAGGGCTGCCATCTTGCCTCTCAGGCAAAAACATTTAATTTGAGCCCCACCATGAAGCAGATGGTGGTTGAATAGAAGAAATAGATAGGTAGTGTGAAAGACTTGAACCTTAGCTCGGAGTGCTGTTTATAAACAACGACTTCACAAGCTGCTGTCGGCCATTTTGTTTTCTCACTAACTGATGGATGGCTATAAAAGCATTAACTGTCTCAGAACCTCTTTAGTCTAATCTGTTCTGTGCTAAATATATAAGCATTCTGTAATGAATTCCTAT